ATTTAGTAATAACCAATGATGATCCATGACTAAGTCCTCCTCTTTTATTGGAAACCTCAAGTCTTAGCGGTATAGTTATCAAAGAATTAACAAAAAAGATTGGAAATAGTTACTTTCTTCTCTCCTCTAACTTCCCAATAAACCAGTATATCATTAGATTCACTGAGACTACGAAAAGCAAGAGTAAGAATAGGGTTGATATTTGAGAAATGCGAGAGTAAGAGTAGGGTAACGAGTTGCACGAACCTATCCCGCCGAAAACAGATAGCGTTGGCAAGCAGACGTTGAACCATATCCGAAAATTTTCCAAGAGAAGGCTAATCGGGCCTATTCTCACTTTTATCATTTTTCATGTTTTTAGAGTGTTATGATTTAATCTATCCTTGCTCAAAGAATTGTTGACTACATCTTGCCATATCATTTTTTAAAACATTTTTGTATGTTGCTTCTTTTGGTGTGAAATGTTAGAAGGACTCTGAAGCAACTGTTGCCTACTAGTTGTTTTCCAGTGAAAGTTTAAGCCCAGAAGGGATTTAAAAGTGATATCTAGTCAATTTTCTGGCACATTTTTGCAGTGCTAGTATACAATCGAAAACGGGTCGCGCAATTTTTTTGAGCTTACAATTATCCAACCACTCTAGGAAATCGAGGTGAGATTTAACTCAATCAAGTTGCTAGACATAATTGATCAATTCAATGATTGAACAGGCAAGATTCAAACAAAATTTTTAAGGTTTTATTCTAATTTTGAAGGATTCTTTTCAGTGAAAAAAATTAAAAAGAATGATTTAATTTTTCCAAAATTCTCCAATTTGAGCCTCTACAAATTTGAGCCTCCTCTGAAGTTTTGGAGCGTTGGCATAAACATAATTTAATAAAGCGTTTAAACCTGTAAAAATTTTTCTTGGTTTGCAAATAAAAAAATTTAATCAATTTTACACTATCAATCATCACGTAAAAGCTCTTCGGATGGCTTTTAACGGAAGAAAACTTCTTTGAGCAACTTTCAGTTTTAAAAAAATGTGAAAAAAACTGGTTCGCTGTAACAAGTTTTGTGGCTTTGCTTTTTTCGGCCAATTTGTCGGTATGCTCCTTGTCTGTAACTGAGCTCAAACAAAACTGTACGCGGTTTCTTGGTTTGTTGTCGAAGTTAATGGAAGTAAAAAGTCATCTTATTTTTTAACTCGAGAGGTTGGTCTGGTTTTTTTTTGGGAATTGAGCTCACAAAAAAGTGCGCACAGTTCCCTGGTTTGCTAGCGGAGTTATTGCCAACAAAAATATCCGTACGTTTGTTGTTTACTCGAATGGAAAATTAATTGACAGAATCGGATTAATTCAAGATTTATTTATCTGAGAAATGGTAAAATCGACAAAAAAATTGTCAACATGACGGTGGTTAAAATGAGATAAAGTGAGTTAACCACGAATTGATTCGTGACTTTCACATAAAGTTAAAATAATTTTGAACCTTTAAGTTATCTCAAGGCGAAACACTTTGCAACCGATTAATTTGCATGCATTTTATGTTCAATCTTTTCCTGCTTATTTTTGGGTCATATAATTCAGTCATATTTAAAAAGACTTGGCTTAGGTAAGAATCGAACCCACGCCGAATGGACGTAAACGCTAAGATATAGACCCTAAACTTTCCATGCACCTATACTCAAGCTTCAAATCTACTTTCGTTCCAATGAACACATTTCATCTTATTGATATGTAGCATTAACAACTTTTTTTTGTTTTCCTTGAAATGTCATTGGCTATTAAATTACAGGAATCATAAGTTGTCTCGGATCTTTTGATTTTTCTGTGTTATTTCCTTTCCCTTCCTCACCTTTAAAATTGAGTTTTGAAAACAAACTTAAATGTTGCCAACAAGCAACAATGTTTTGAATGATGAACAATTTAACAACTGTGAACAGATTTTTTTTTTCATATTTTACATCGTAAAATACCCAATTAGTCATGATTAATAACCATAAAAAAATTTGCTTTTTTTCCATTTCCCCTTACTTCCAATTTTTTAAGTTTCTTTTGTTTGTTGTATGTGTTATTATGGCTAAACACCAAATAGTTTGATGTAAGCTCTTATGAAGAAATCTGTTCACAAGTGCTTTTGTTCACCATGTCAGAATTAATTGCAATGTGACATTTTTAACATCGTTTTTCAAAATTTAGATTGAAAGGTATAGGAAAGTGGAAAAAATCTAAATTTTGAATGAAGGGGATGGAGGTAGAAAAAAGCTTATTCCCCTTAACCTGCAGTTTCTACGAAATTTTACAAAACATTTGGCACAGATTTGTTCATCATACTGTACTCCGTAATGTAATGCGTTTAAAAAATAATTATCAATGAAACATAGCATTAGGATGAAAATATTTCACCGCTTAAAATACCAATTTCAAGAGTTGAATAACAAAAATGTAAGAGCTCTAAAAATATAAATTTTGAAAGATGGGGGAGTGGGAAAAAAGCCGGAATGATACGGCGCGACAAAAAAACTTTTTTTTTGTAATAATCCTTGTGAAACCACTCTTAACACCGTAAATTTGGTGCTCGTGCAGATCGAGGGAAAAGGAAAAAGAGTCGATGTCTCAAATTTTAGTTGGTCGAGCCGTTTTACTCCGACTTGACCCAGCTCTTCGTTTTTTGTGGGTTATGCAAATGGAAAAAAAACCTATTTAATTACAATCTTTTTGAATGAAAAATGCTTGGTTGTTTTGTCATTTTGCTCATTACGAGGCCGAACTGGGCTCTTTTTCTTTTTCCCCCCACCTCACTCAAACATGAAATTTATGGTCTAACGAGTGGTTTTACAAGGGTAATTATGAAGACCAAATATGTTTCTCATAACCTAATTAGTCTGCATGTCAATTTTCATAACAATCGGACAAAGTGAACAGAAACTTCAAATATAAAAATTTGCAGGTGGGGGGGAGGGATTAAGAAAAAACGAAAAAAGAGCCCCAAACTGTGCACTGTATAAGGTCAAATTTTTTTTGCTCCTGGACTCCAGAGACAAGTCTTTAAATATGCTTTCATTTTTGTCAAAGGAAATGAAAAAACAAAAGAAGAACAATGGGAGCGTCCTAGTTGCGGAATCGACTCATAATCCACAGAAAGCACAGTTTCTCCTCGTAATACTGTACTTTAGCTTATAAGTTCTCTTTGCTGAAAGAACCCGGGTTGGGGCTGCCGAGTATTGTAGGGAAGTACGCGCTGACACTTAACCGCGTTTAAATTTTTGAGATCGAATTTTTGTCGGCTCTCAATTTCGGGAGTCTAAGTAGTAGTTAGAACATAGTTGAAAGATGCCCGAGGGAAAAAGAGCCCGGCCTGAGGGCACGGAATTCCCGAGTGCGGCTCTTTTGCCCGAGGCCATCTTCAGCTATGTTCTAACTGTTGAAGAGTATGTTTTTGCTCTTTCTGAGGGAAAGATGCCAGAAAATTGTGAGAGAGCCCAGGAAAATTGTGAAAGATCCCGGAAATGTGCGCGAAACTATGCAAATGATTTCTTGTTTCATTCATGCGTTCTAACATTTTATTTTGGCTCTTTATCCTTCCCCCCCCCCACCTGCAAAACTTTTAGATTCATTTTTCTGTTCAAATTGTTGGATTGTTACAAAATTTGGCATAAGGACTGATTAGGACATGACAAACATTTTTGGTCTTCATAATCAACCTTGTAAAACAACGCTTCACACCATAAAATCGATGCTTATGTGAGGTGGGGGGAAAAAGGAAAAAGCGCTTTTATTTTTTCATGCCTTGTCGTGAAAGAACATGTGTGAAAGAGCAAAAACAAACTCTTCCAATGCACGTAAATTAATCTGGTCGACTTTGGTCAAAGATTTTCAAATTTTGAATCTGATCAGATCCTGTTCGATTCATGTATCGACCCTGGTCGATTCATGTGTCAACCGTGATCGTCTCATGTATTGCCGCGTGGTCGTCTTAATAATTTTATCGACCCTGGTCGACTGAATAATATGGTCGACTCGTATGAGAAGCGGATATTCGGTCGACCGAAATTGTCGATTTGCAATTAAACCACCGCGGCCGGATACCTTCGGAAAAAGTTGTAGTAGCGATATGACTGAATCTCAACCGGAAGATAGCTTAGACTGAGAAATTTACTAAGCAGCAGCGAGCAGATTTGGCTCCTCAGCTGCAAACCAAACTGCACAACAACCCTCTCAACCAAAACGACCTCAAAGTGCGGCGCCTGGAGGAGGTGCACCTCACCCTCATCAAGTCGCCGGACCCTCCAATGCACAGTTTTTGAATCAACCAGTTTGCTGGGGTAACGGAAACGGGGTGTTTTAAGGAGTTTTGATTGGCCATATTTCATTCTCAAAATAACTAATGAAACTCTAATAAGTATATTGCGTGATTAAAAAACTGAACTTGGCGCCGATATGACCTCCAGTGAAAAAAAATTTACAATGAAAAAAGAGTCAAGAAATTTAGAAAGTTAAAACACCTAACCATTTGAAGATTTAAAAAAATAGTATAAAGTTACTGGAATTTTTGCTTTTATGGTTTCATGTGAACGTCAAAGAAGGTTTTGAAGTACGATTTGAGAACCAGTTTGAGATAAACTAATAACAGTATCCCGTCAAACCCGCAGTTATTGTTCCAAAATACAAAACATTTCCAATCAATAGCCTTTTTACCCTCCCACAATCGCAAATGTTTTTTTTAGAAAATTGTCGGGACTAATCAGTTAAACTAAAAAATGAAAAAAAAATCGAGGACCTCGCTACAATTTAAGGTCGTATGACTCCGGGCTGAAGTATTCGAATCATGAGTCGAGTCCTGCTCGAATCATGGTGTTTGGCGCATGATTTGATTTTTTTCGACCGAAGCGTTTGTCCGACCCACTCAATTTGGGTCGAAAACTGAATAAAATCGAAATTTTTGGTCGAAATTTGAGTGCAAACCACCTCAAAAAGTCGTTTATCAATACAATATGCTGCGAGATTTCAAACTTATTTAGGTGCAAGATCTTTTGGCCCTCAGAGTGAAAACCAGTCATTGAGGCAAAACATACAGCAGGCCCCACAAGCACCAAACGCGACTGCATTTGGACCGACTGCTACCAATGCTGCCAACATCGCTGCCAGTCCCGCTCAATATCCTAATTATGGACAGTATAATGGTATTATGAGAAAATTATTACAATGATATGATTTCACTATCTTTTTTCGAATACTTTGAAGCAGTGGGATTTTTTCTGTATTTTTTCCTTCATATTTTGGGAATGCGAATGTAAGTTTCTTGCTTTATTGCGAGGTAATTGTAAGATTTGCATTTAATTGCAAGAATTGTGCAAGATTTTGTTTTCTATGGTTTCCTTCAAAGTTTTTATTGGTAATTCAATGCCTTTATAATTAGCCAAAACTCACATGAGGAGATTGCTGACGAATAGTTTCTTTATGACTAGATAGTGGAAGGGAACCAACCCCCATTGGATACAAATCGGTTATAATCGATTTTTGTGGTAAAAAACGTTGGCATTATAATCGATTATAATTACACTTTGAGACCACGCAACCAATTATAGTCAATTATAATCCATTACTTTTACAGAAAAATACCGATTATATTCCTTTTAAAAATCATAATAACGGATTAAAAATTCTAACAGTTTGATAAATGTTCTACAACTTTTTGAGAAATTTTCTGCAAGTTTTGCAGCTTTTCTGCATCAAGGCTAGCCTACTCGATTTCTAAACCTACTCACATTTAGTTAAATTTTGCAAAACCACGTGTACGGTTTTCACGTTTTTCTTACGTTAAATTTAAGTAAGGGTTGGTGGGGAGGTGAGGTGGTGGTAAGTGAAGAAATGGTAGCTAGTTAATAAAAATGGTGTGAGTTAATGTGAAGTATTTAGGGAGAGAGGGACACAAGTAGAGAAAAAATAGAAGAAAACATAAAATTTTTTTGTTGTTTCGTAAAACACAATTCAGTGATTGCTATGTTCAAATTTTGAAATTTTGATTTCAAGGTTTCAGAAAATTCAGGCTCTTACTCATAAAAATCTAATATAATCCATTATAAACTAACATAATTCATTATAAACTATAATAATGAAAAAAATTTTTAATCGATAAATTTAGAATTTTATGAAGACAGACCATGAAAATCCATTATAATCGATTATTATCCATGGAATCTCACAGCGGTAAAGATGTTTAGGGCATATTGATAGTTTTTGAAAATTTGGGTTATGGTGATTCTTGAAAAAACATTTGCGTGAGTATTTTAATGGCCATTAATACCAATTGCCTCTTAGTATAGCCTGTTGGTAATAACATAACCTCGTGGTAAAACCTACGTGATACAATAAAAAATTGCGCCAAATTTCGTTTTAAGAAACAACTGTACCAGCTACAGTTTTTAGTTCAAAAACATTCAAATCTCAACTAAGAAATAATGTCCATGCTAGGATTCAATATTTCCTAATTCAATTTGTATACAACTCTCTGATTAACATCTTTCTGCTATAGAAAAGTTTAGCTTGCTTATTAACATGCTGCATCACATTGAGAGGAAGGACACTGACAAAAATTCGGCAGTAACTATAATAAAACCTGTTTTCTCATGCTTGAAAATTTCAAAAAACGATTAAGTTTTTATTCAATTCAGCAAAATTCACTCATATTCACTGTCAAGTGGTGAGTGATACTTTTTCAAAATGCTCAGTCAACTGCATCAGCTGCCCATTTAGCTAAGTGTGAGGTCCTCGATTTCCCAACTTTCTCAATAATGATATAAAGATCTCGCCTGCTATGAAAAACTGTTCAAAAAAGAAATGTTGAAGAAAAATGTAAAAAATTATTCTGCAGAAAAAAAAATGCTGTATTAGCAACTATTTTTTTCATGATAGTAAAAAGATTAATTCTTTCGAAGTTTCAATAACGTCAATCAATTTTTTTAGTCTGTCAAGTTTTTGTTTTATCATGAAAACCCTAATTGCTAAAACGGCTTTTTTTTGCAGAATAATTTTTTACATTTTCTTCAATATTTGTTTTTTGAACAATTTTTCATCGCAGGAAAATTTTTTGTCAATATTGGTAAAATTTTAAATCGAGCAACTCCCACCTAGCTGAGTTGACAGCTGATACAATTGACTGATCATTTTAAATTAGTATCATTCACTACTTGACAGTGAATATGAGGGAATTTTGCTGAATTGAAAAAAAACAATGTTGATAAATTTTTGAGACTCAAGCATGAGCAAAAGGAACTCAGACTTTTATATAGTTAAATCCGAATTAATAGCAAAATCTTTTTGGTCATCGAATCTGAACAAAGTTATTTAACATCAAACTGCTCATTTTGACCTCGAATTTCATTTCTTTTTATTTTGACTTTCACATGTTAAAACGGTTTTCGGAGAAATAATTAACCTGAAATATGACAAATTTTGACCGGTTAAACTGCTCGAAGTCACCAATATTGCCAACAGTTTTGCATCAACTGTATCGCTTTCAAAAAAATTTCGGACAACGTCTTAAGGTTTTGAAATAAATCTGACCTTGAGGCAGTGAAATGGCCTTAAAACTGCAATCGAATTTTCAAAACTGCATTTAAACTGACAAAAGAGCAACGCCAAAAGAATGCGCATTTTGGAGAGTTTCAATTTTGCCTTATTCAACAGCACAACTGAAAAAAAAAACTTTTTTTCTTTAACATTTTCGCTTGATTAATTTTTGAGAGCAAAAAACACATAAAATGCCGTCAAAACGGCAAACGTAAAACTTCAAAAAGGTATTTTGATTTAGTTTAAATTTAAAGGTCAGAATCATTTGCTAAATTTATAATTGGTAGCAAAAAGTTCGGACATAGAGAAATAATTAAAATGAGCAATCAGTGCTTTTCGACGCTTTTTTAAATGCAAAATCTGAAGGCGAACAACCTTGAACTTTTTGTCAGACCAAATTCGAAAAGCAAGATTGTCGATTATCCGATGATTATGCTAGCCTAATCTTTAAATACTGCAATCAACATCCAGATTTACTAGAAAATAGTTAGCAAAATTAGTTAAAAAATCTAGAGTTATTTTCAACAACAAAAAAAAACAAAAAATAAAGCGGAAATGAGAAAATGATCAAAACATTCAAAGTTTGGAAATTAACCACAGAAAAAGATTAGCCATCCTGAGCAATAATTTTATAACTACTTCGGATGCAATTGCCCGCTGTAGTTATAAATTTTGAGCGATACTCTGCTTTATGAACTTTCGACGTTATGTTTATTTCAGTTTTAATTTCCGTTGCTCTTTTTAATTAATTTTGTCGGTTCGAACTTTTTGCAACTCTCTATAATACGTTGTCCGATAAATTTGTTGAAGAAAGCTATATAGAGAGTTGCAAAAAGTTCGGACAGACAGAAATAATTAAAAAGAGCAATCTGCCAATTTTGAGCAATTTTTGCATGCAAATTTGAATTTTTAGGTGACATTGAGACAAACTTTCAGTCTGAAAAATTACCTTTTGCATGCAAAAATTGTCTGAAAAAGGTCATTTGCTCTTTTTAATTAATTCTGTCTGTCCGAACTTTTTGCTACTAATTATAAATGAACACATCCATCGCCTTCGATGGCTTACGCTTAACCAATTGTTATTAAAAGAGCAGTTTTTCTGTTTTGATTCTTGCATTCAATCTCAATGTTTCGGGGATTTCAGAAACACAATTTCAGACAAAAAATAGATCTGGCCCGCAATTATTCCCAAAACATGTTAATTGCTCTCTTTAATTAATTTTGGCTGCCCGAAGTATTTGCTATTTTTAATAACATAGTAAACTGAACTATCATCAAGCGATTAAACAAGGGCTATATCTGCTTCAATTTCTGCTGACTTGAATTTCTGAGCATAGAAATTGTTTAGTTTCGGATTTCACAAACACACCGCCAAATCGAGGTTACCAGCATCCCAACTTGGCTGCTGCAAATGCTCAACCAGCCAACAGAAACAACTGTGAGAAAACAAACTATATTCTTTTAATTACTAACCTTCCCTTCACTAAAAACGTTTCCCGAAGTTACAGGATGGGCTGAATAACATTCATTCCCATTTTTCTGATCAACTAGTCATTTTCATACTTTTGTCTTTTTATACACGAAGGCTTACCTCAATTTCGAACTAACTGCCAAAAACTACGATATAATCAGGGGCGGATTTAGCGGGCGGGGCGTTGTTGGGGGAGGCCTATTTACTTCAGGGAATCGACCCCCTCACTCCTTTGGTATTATTTTATGACTTCTATGTTAGGCCGACCAAACCTAAAATTTTTCTAAAGACGCCATCGGCGCCAGTATATACCTATTGTAAAGGGGGACGCGCGCCGAAAAAAAAGCAATTATTTGGTCAAAATTATAGGGTCTTCATAGTAGCCTAGTGAGTGCTCGTGAAATCGAAAATCAATTTGGTCAACCTGAAAAAAACCTTCGAGAAAATCCTAGATCCGCCCATAATATTTAACTTCAACGGATCATGTTAACTATTCCCCCCCCCCTATGGTACCTTGTAAAGATTCTCCCCCCAAAAAAAACACATTTCGGCTGTTTAATTGATAAAGTTCATTTTTGCTCAACTATATTGGTTTTGTATTTCTCAGAAATATGTTCTGTCGCATTCCTATTGCTTGACGTTATTTCAATAAATTTCATCCAAACCTTGTTAACTATTTCCCCTCTTTTTTGGCCTGTTTTTCAAAATTTTGCCTGCGGCGCAGAAATTTCGGCCAAAACAGGGTCTTTTTAGTCCTTTGGGAGAGCTCGGAAAATCAATTTTTTGTTCGACCTAAAAAAAAAAGGTCGACACAAAATTTCCGAAAATTTTTTAAAAATCCGCCCCCTCGAGAAAATCCTAGATCCGCCCCTGATTTGAACCATTACATTTAGCCTTATAACTCAATTCCTCTGAAAATCAAATTTTGATCTTAAGTGGTTTTTTGAACTTTTTTGATGATCATATCGCAAAACTCATTTCCGAAGTAATTTTAGTGCGTGAATTCACAAACCATCAACCATGGATGACATATCAAAGACAAGGAGCAGGAAGACTGACCACAAACAATAACCCTCCTAGTTTATGGGGTGGGTATTATGTTCCCAAGAGTAATTTCTGTTCTTAAGAAAAAACTGTTTGGGATAATGAAGGCAAAAAAATCTGTATCACCTGAAATTGCAATCTGAAGGGCACCTTGTCTACTTTGTAGACTCTTAAATCGTCTAAGTAAAAGTTCCTGTGTGATAAAAACAGGCATTCTGCAAAGGTATGGTATGAAACTTTTTCTCAAAAAATACTGTACCGGTTTTCGAAAAAGCTGTACGTATGGAAAGAAAAGACCGCCCAATTCCTTGCGCGCCTGCATTATCCCCTAGTCTCTTTATACATTACCCCACTTTCTGCAAGCTTCAAAAAAGTTAGAAGGGGAATGGAGACAATGGGTTGTGGAAAGCTCCTCTGCATAAGCAGCTTTGACCTATTTTTCTTCTTGAAAATTTTTTCCTCCTTAACAGTTACGGCCATTTTTCCAGCCAATCTTTTAATAAGACTTCCTTTCGAAAACTGCTTTCCCATTTCTCAGATTTTAGGCTTAAAAAAACAGGTTGTGTGACGATCTATTACACATATGGCTACACCCCAGAATTTTTCACAGCAAAAATAATGGCCCGTGGAGAAATCAAATAATGATTGTTTGACCTTTTTGAAATATTTTCGTCTCGAAAAAAAACACATTTCGGCTGTTTAATTGATAAAGTTCATTTTTGCTCAACTATATTGGTTTTGTATTTCTCAGAAATATGTTCTGTCGCATTCCTATTGCTTGACGTTATTTCAATAAATTTCATCCAAACCTTGTTAATTATTTCCCCTCTTTTTTGGCCTGTTTTTCAAAATTTTGCCTGCGGCGCAGAAATTTCGGCCAAAACAGGGTCTTTTTAGTCCTTTGGGAGAGCTCGGAAAATCAATTTTTTGTTCGACCTAAAAAAAAAAGGTCGACACAAAATTTCCGAAAATTTTTTAAAAATCCGCCCCCTCGAGAAAATCCTAGATCCGCCCCTGATTTGAACCATTACATTTAGCCTTATAACTCAATTCCTCTGAAAATCAAATTTTGATCTTAAGTGGTTTTTTGAACTTTTTTGATGATCATATCGCAAAACTCATTTCCGAAGTAATTTTAGTGCGTGAATTCACAAACCATCAACCATGGATGACATATCAAAGACAAGGAGCAGGAAGACTGACCACAAACAATAACCCTCCTAGTTTATGGGGTGGGTATTATGTTCCCAAGAGTAATTTCTGTTCTTAAGAAAAAACTGTTTGGGATAATGAAGGCAAAAAAATCTGTATCACCTGAAATTGCAATCTGAAGGGCACCTTGTCTATTTTGTAGACTCTTAAATCGTCTAAGTAAAAGTTCCTGTGTGATAAAAACAGGCATTCTGCAAAGGTATGGTATGAAACTTTTTCTCAAAAAATACTGTACCGGTTTTCGAAAAAGCTGTACGTATGGAAAGAAAAGACCGCCCAATTCCTTGCGCGCCTGCATTATCCCCTAGTCTCTTTATACATTACCCCACTTTCTGCAAGCTTCAAAAAAGTTAGAAGGGGAATGGAGACAATGGGTTGTGGAAAGCTCCTCTGCATAAGCAGCTTTGACCTATTTTTCTTCTTGAAAATTTTTTCCTCCTTAACAGTTACGGCCATTTTTCCAGCCAATCTTTTAATAAGACTTCCTTTCGAAAACTGCTTTCCCATTTCTCAGATTTTAGGCTTAAAAAAACAGGTTGTGTGACGATCTATTACACATATGGCTACACCCCAGAATTTTTCACAGCAAAAATAATGGCCCGTGGAGAAATCAAATAATGATTGTTTGACCTTTTTGAAATATTTTCGTCTCGAAAAATATCAATTAAATTTGAGTTACCCCATATGTGCCTGCATAATCCCCTAGTCTTTTTTACTCTAACCCGTTTTCTTCAGCCTTCGAAAAGTCTGTAGGGAGAAAATGGAACCTTTGAAATTTACCATTTCGTCAAAACTTCCTTTCTATAACTGAGATTTTGTGTTCAATGAATAAAACAGGTTCTGGGAAAAAGCAGAAAAAGTTACGGAAAGGTCAAGTATTCAATTTATTCACCGCTTTGAATCTTTTGACGTTCCTTCTAAATTACCCTTCCCAAATTTGATGTTTTGGGTTCAATGGAGATAACAATTTGTGGGAAACTACCCTTTTCTAGAGAACAGGGAGCAAGTCATCGGAAAAGTCAAATTTCTGACTGTCTGACCGTTGTTTGAAACTTGATTTTCGTCAGAAACAACACTACGAAATCTAAGGTTTTGGTTTCAATAAAATGAAGAAATTTTTCAAGGTTTTGCTAAACAAGCCGCACTGGCCATTTTTTCACGATAACTTAAGGCCTCCTTGAAAGCTCTAAGTTTTGATGTTTTGACCGGTCTTATAAACTAAAAGCTATTTCTCAATAACTTACGTCCCAAGTCTGACGTTTTGGGTTCAATGGGGGAGATTGTATTGTGAGAAACTTCTCTGTTTAAGCAGTTATACCCAATTTTTTTTTTTTTAATTTTGGCATTCGAAAAGGTCATATTAATGATTTTTAACGGTTTTTTGAAGCTCTTTAATTTTTCTCGGAAACTACTAAATTCTAGAATATTCGTTTCAACCGGAAGCACAGGTTGTTTGAAGCACCCAAGCATAAACTTGGGTGACCAAATATGTTTCCACGAAAAGTTATGGTCCTCGAAAAAATCAGTTTTTTTTAATTAAAAAAAAATTTGACGTATCACAGAAATCAACTTCAAAATCTGAGATTTTGTATGAGTGAAGAGAACTTGAAGTGAGAAGCGCCCCATTTTAGCGACTATGCTCAAACTTTATCAAAAAATTATGAACTTCGTTAGGGTAGTTTTTCTCGGATTTTTGTTTCAATCGGCAAAACAATTTAAAATTTTTTTTTTCAAAACTAAAAACAAAATGTTAGGTTTTGGTTAAAAGAAAAAGGTTTGAGCAAAGCTCCACTGTATAAGCACCTACGTCCAAACTTTTAAACAAAAAAATCAAAAAGGTCCTTTTTGAAACCTTTGACTTTTCTTGAACACCTAGTCGAGTCTATCTTGTGTTTAATCGAGGCCAATTGTTGTAAGAAGCCTCCTCGCACAAACTGATGCACGTTTAACTTATTTTTAAATTATTATCTCCTTGAGTACAATCTAAATTTTTTAAAATTTAGTCTTTGTTAATAAACCAAATAAAGTTTTCGGTGAATGCCAATTTTTGAAAAATTGAAATGACCCCAAATCAGTGAAAAAAAACCTCAAAAAAAACTAACTTTTGCTGGCTTCTTGATTGTTTTGCTGTACGCTTTGACACAAGAAATTATGCTGCTTTTCTTATAAGTTGTGAAGTTTTGAAAGTTTTTTGCATGAATAGAAAATATTACAAGAAATTTAATTAAAAAAACTGGGATACATGTTTTTTTTTTAAATTAGGGTTTTTGATGCAATGATTTTGCTGATAGATTTTTTCAAAGCAATACAATATCATCTGGAATCTTTTTCATGAATATTTTTTATTAAAAAACTACTATAATTGCAATTTTAAGTTCCTTTCGAATAAACGAAATCAGAAAACGAATCAAGTGCAGTCATTTCCAAATTTTTTTCTTGAGCAAATGAGTGATAAGCCATTTCTCTAAGCTAAATACTTTCTATACAAAAAAGCAGCAACATTTTCGTGGGATATAGTGGGATATAATTTTTTGGGCATTCCTTGGACAGAAATGTAAAGTGGGATTAAATTTTTGGGCATTCCTTGGACAGAAATGTAAATTCCTGCAAGGTCGAAACGGATAAAAATCGGTTGTCTGCAGAAAAAAACACAGGTTGTAGATCTTTTGTAGTTTTTCTACAGTGAAACTACAATAGTGTGTGCTTTGCGTGATTTACATGGCGTTTTGTAAAGTGTAGAAAAAATCAAATAAATTTTCCTTGTGTCGATCTCTATTAAAAAGAGAAAAAAACGGAATATAATCAGGCCAGTATATGTTTAAACGTGTGCCTTACTATCTCCCCTTGTTCAAGTTTATTCAAGGTTTTATCTATGCATGTATAACGAAAGAAATTTTCCTGCCTAAGTTATATCGTAACTTGCAATGGTTAAGATTTTTTGTTGTGTTCTACTTTAGATTCAGAGTTTTAAAAAAAGCAACCCAAAAATGGAATGTTGTCAGGGTTCCTACATGTATTTCGAATTATCCCTACAGTTATGAATGCCACAATCCTTTTGTTGTTTGAGATATGACAATTTTAGGATGAATTGAAATCCCAACATTGTAGTTGGTCACTGTGAGGATATTCTCAGGAGATCCAAATTGCAAATCTTGCGTCCAAATCCGACTGCTCAATTGATCTTAGTTTCAAAGATTTTAAATTTGAAAAACTTTCCAAATTTGAAGTTCTCATCTCTATAGTGAGGCTCTGTCAGGATACTCCCAGGGTTTGCAAATTTGGCCTCCCAATATGGCTGCTCAAATCCGTACAGTTTTTCAGATATGACTTTTTTCATGGTATTTTCAAACAAATTAAAGAAATCTCTAACTTATTTTTTTTAAACTTGAAATTTTTAACCTTGTATTTGGGTCTTTCAGAGTATTCAGAGGTTGCGAATCTTGCCTCCAAATCTGATTGCTCAAATCCTAGTAGTTTTTTTAGCAATCCCAAATTTAAATTTTATTAAAAACTTGAAATTCTTAACCCTGTAATTGAAGCTGTCAAAATAATCTCAGAGGTGGCGAGTCTTGCCTCCAATTTTGAATGCTCAACTCTTGGTAGTTTTTGAGATATGACGTTTTTTTATGTTTTTTTTTCAATTGGTTGTTTTTGAAAATTTGTTGTTTTTTGCTTTTACAGAAACTGGCAAAAAAACTCAGATAAAAGTGATTCTTATCTATGGAAGTCGAGTGCGTGATTTCGATTTTTTAAAATATATATTCGCAAACAGAAACAATCTAACCCCCACATAGGGGCGGATTTAGGGGGGGGCGGGGGGGCGGACGTTCCCCCTCAGGGATTCGACACCCTGCCGACCCAAAGGGTCCCCTCTTTGGTACTTTTTAAGAAATCCACTTTTGGCCGACCGACCCTAAAATTTTTCTAAAGGTGCCTTCGGCGCCAATATATGCTAAATTTGAGGGGGAGTGCGCGCCAAAAAAACGCGACAATTTTTCAAAACGCGACAATTTGTTTTTTGTCAACTTTTTTCAAAAAGTGCCCAAAAACGGTTTTTTTTACTGTTTATTCAAAAATTTGACTGCGGCGCTGAAAATTAAGCCCAAAATACTATTTTGAAATATCCATATTTTGTGACGGACCCTAAAAATTTTCTAAAGGCTCCAATTTATACTAATTTTGAGGGGGGAGCGCGCGCCGAAAAAACGCAATTTTTTTGGTCAAAATTTTCCAAAAAGTGCCTAAAAACGCCTTTTTTGACATTTTTTTTTTCAAAAAATTGCCTGCGGTGCAGAAATTTTTGCCAAAATAGGGGCAAAACAGTGCTTTGGGAGAGCTCAAAAAATCAATTTGGTCGACCTAAAAAAAGGTCAAAATTTTCGATTTCTTTTTGAAAATCCGCCCCCTCCCCCCCGATCCGCCCCTGCCCCTACCCCTGCCCCTGCTCCCCCCCCGGCGGAAAATCCTAGATCCGCCCCTGCCCCCACATGAAAAAAATTGAGAAATCTATGAGTAGTAAAAAATCAAAGTTTCGCTTACTATGGTAGTTTGCCTACTGGGATACTCACACAGTAGCCGGCTAAACCTGTTCTCAAAACTTAGATTTATGTTTATTTTGAGTCCAGTTGCAAAATTAATTTTTAGACCCTTTTTAGGTTCTTAAAAATCTGATTCTGCAATTTTTTATAACTTGAACCGAAAAAGTCCGTATTTTGGTTGATTGTTAAAACTTTTCAATTCATTTGAATTTTCTGAGAACACATTAACCCCATCTCAATCATGTCGTCTTTGCTTAGATCAGACACCTGTTGGCCCAAGTTTTTCCCGGACGAGGCAACATCTGCAAGGATTTGACACTAACCCGTTAGCCTCGGTCGTCAACCTTGCCCAGCCTCAATCACCTCAACCAGCCCGAGGGCACAGTCTTTTCGACTTAAACCGTGCTTTTTCTTGTGCCGAAATCTGATTTTATCACTAAAGCGCTCAAAAAATTGTTTTTTTTTAATGGCCTTTCAGCTTACGCTCCGAATCCCCCTCCCCCCCCCCCAGTGATTAGCCAAACTTGTGAAATTATTAACTTGAATTTGGACTTTTTGAGCTTTTCAGATGTTTTTGGGAATCTTGAATCAGAATTGGTTAATATTCTCTTGTTGAAAATAATCTTACGCCCCATGAGAAAATTAGTAAATGAACTACTAAGGGCTTTGTGTCAAGCACTGGCTTATGATCGGTTGCAATAATGATTGGTTCAAATCAAAGTATCCCTTAAATATACCGCAAAAAATAATGAAAACTGATGAAATTTTGTTATGAAGTTCTGAAAGTTATCACCCAAAAAAATTATAAATTTCGGATGATGCTCATTGGATCTTATTTCCGCCCTCATTTTTTTCTTCCAATATCATTTTACGCGAGGTCCGTCTTGGAAAAAGAGATCGAGGTACTTTTTCAGTACAGGTAGTATGCTCACTCTTACAAGAAAATAATTCCACCACCATCGCAGACTGAACGTGTTTTTGGGTGCTTGAGATACGTGTTATTACACTCATACATACAATTTTTTTGTTTGAAATGGTGAAAAATTAGCTCGGCTACGAGAACAAGCACTTGAAGGAGCTCCACCCTACCAAATACATCAGGGCCAACTTTTGCCGATGCCAGATCCGTCTATCCATGGTCACCCAACCCGTGGTCGGTCAATCCAAGGCCGACCAACTACAGGTCAAGCAACCCACGGTCAACCATTTCAAGGTCAATTGAATCGAGGCCAGCCAATGCAAGATCAACAGGCGATGCAAGGTCAACCGATTATTGGGCAACCATTGAACCAATCAGCAAGTTCATTGCATGGCTACAACCAGAGTTCCGATTCTGCTCCACCCGGGTTCAAGAGTTTTGATCAGGCCTCCTCAAGTAAGGACCCCTACGCTAATTTTCAGTATGGTCAACCTTCTGTGCCATCCAGTGGAACGCCAGGTAATGTCGCCGCAGTGATAACACAAGAGCAAATGCAAGCAGTCCAAAGTAGAACAGTAAATGGCCAAACTCAGGTGCAGACGCATACGACTCCTGTGCGAACTACCGTACAAGTCAGGCCAGAGACCAACTTTGGAAATCAAGCTTCGCAAGGTCATATCTCAGGGCTCGGAGCATCTCAGCCAAGACAGATTCAACAGCTAATGATGACGAACAATTCATCGTCTCAGATGCCCCTGACGTCATCTCAGATGCAATCAGCACTTCCCCCGATGCAACCTACTTCTCCCCAGACGCAACCGACCTCTCAGATGCATCCGACATCCTCTAAGATGCAGCAGGTATCTCCTCTGATACAACCGACATCTACGATGCAGCCGACATCAACTGCGTTACAAGGGGTACAACGGTCGAATCAGCCTAATCAAATAAAACAACGAGGTGCCTTAAGTACAACGAACATGGAAAATTTCCCTGCTCTGAGTTCTGAAAACCGCAATATAGGTCATAAGCGATCAATATCTGAGAGGCCTTCCTATCGATCTGTTGCGGCAAGCTTTTTAAACAAAGACACCCCGCAAAATAGAACCCCGGTTTCTTCAAACCAAACATCTGGTGCCACATCATCAACTGGCACCTCTGCTAATTCGCAGGTGTCTTCGAACAGATATACTCCCATTAATCGACCCGACAGCCATGGTTCTCAAACAATGAGCCCTTCACAGACGTTCAACGCACGAAATCAAAGAGCAGTTTCTCAAAATCCAGCAACTAGAAGCTCACATACTCAACCGTCAGCAGCTCAGAAACCGCCTGCAAAAAATCAGCGCGTAAAATCTAGACGAAGGCGCAATCAACAAATGCCAACAAGGAACACCTTTGACCACTTAGGAACAACTTTGAGTCCAACAATTGCGGAGTGCCCTTCCGAGGGGCAGACTCTGAACACCGTACAAGAATCACCTGCAGCGCCGGCACCACCTCAGCTGCACGCCGCATCCCTTCAGATGCAAACGACATCTCCGTTGAAGTCTCCGACACCACTTGTGCAGCATCCGACATCGCAAATGAATCAACCGACAGGACCTCAGATGCAAACGACTTCTCCGTTGAAGTCTCCGACACCACATGTGCAACATCCGACATCACCGCTGAATCAACCGACAGGACCTCAGATGCAAACTACTTCTCCGTTGAAGTCTCCGACACCACATGTGCAACATCCGACATCACCGCTTAAGCAACCGACAGGACTTCAGATGCAAACGACATCTCCGTTGAAGTCTCCGACACCACTTGTGCAGCATCCGACATCGCAAATGAATCAACCGACAGGACCTCAGATGCAAACGACTTCTCTGTTGAAGTCTCCGACACCACATGTGCAACATCCGACATCACCGCTGAATCAACCGACAGGACCTCAGATGCAAACTGCTTCTCCGTTGAAGTCTCCGACACCACATGTGCAACATCCGACATCACCGCTTAAGCAACCGACAGGACTTCAGATGCACACGACATCTCCGTTGAAGTCTCCGACACCACATGTGCAACATCCGACATCACCGCTGAATCAACCGACAGGACCTCAGATGCAAACGACATCTCCGTTGAAGCCTCCAGCACCACCTGTGCAGCATCCGACATCACCGCTCAAGCAACCGACAGGACTTCAGATGCAAACGACATCTCCGTTGAAGCCTCCGACACCACCTGTGCAACATCCGACATCACCGCTGAAGCAACCGACAGGACCTCAGATGCAACCGCTATCAACCCTGCATGATGCATTCAGTACACCTCAATTGAGACATCGTAATCAGCTCGGAGCCCAAGTTCGATCTGTATCCCATGAACCATACAACCCCTATTTTTCTGTTTCACCATCTGGACCCAGAAGAAGAGGATCGTATCCCCACCCAATGACAGATGGATTTGAAGCAACGTTTGCAGGCTCGAAAGTATACTATTCTCCTGGGAAACGAGAGACGGAAAGCCGACAAAGTGGAGAAATGCAAGGTTATGGTCAGAACCAGCATCCGTTTATGGCGCAAGAAACAGATTTTCAGGCTTTCCCTAATTTTAAACCTACGCAAGAATCGAATGCATTTTTATCCACAAAAATACAGCAGATGCCTCAGTTCTCAAATTCTACACCCGAACGAAGAAGATCGATTGGCAATTTCGAAAACGGGATACAACAGACACCCGCTGATCAACATTTTCAGGTGTTTTCGAAATCTTCAGAAAGTATACCTGGCTCCTCGTCGCCATTTAGTCTTAGATCTTACATCGGAAACTCACCAGTTAGTGAACCACAATTTTCACCTCCGATTTCTTCGAATCAATTCAACGTTCAAGCCCAGGAAAGCTCCGAATACCCAATGATGCAACAAGAGACTTCTACAATTGTACCAAATGAGAGCCCTGCAGTTCCTGATGATTTGATGGCAGATTCAACTGCATGTCAGGAGACCTCTAGTAAGCAAAAGAAAAAGAGTAGGAGGAATAGAAAGATCAATGATGCAACACCGAATACCGACGGGTTCATTGCGCCGGCATTGCCACTTTCACCTGAAAGTAACGCAGAATCCAATATTACCAATACTACAGTCACTGCAAGTCATCAAATCACAACTCAAACTACTGTTACCAATGAGTTCCCAATAACGGAACAAGGAACATCTGAAAACACAAACGTTGAAGGTGATCAGAATCAAATTTCAGCTCCCGGAGAAGTTGGTGTCAGCGAGTCTACACAAGATGCAGTCAGTAGTAGTAAAAGTAAAAAGAAGAAGAACAAAAACATAAATAAAACAGCCTCTGCAATAAATTCGACCAATAATGAAGTTACTGTAGCGCCGGAACCTGCGAACCCGACCACTACAGTTCCCGTACCGGGCGCCCAGACTACTGCAAAACCCGTAGCTGACAACCAGGCGAAGACCACTACATTTCCTCTGCCTGCAGCCATGACAATTTCCAGCTTGACCAGAGCAGGGAAGAAAAAAAGTAAGTGGCTTGCCTTTTTTTCTTCAAAATTCAAAAAATGAAAATGTATATAACAAAAAAGGTTCTTGTAATTGCTTCTTCTATCTAGAATAACTATCTGAGCGCTTAGGTGCACACTTAACAATTAGGTAAAGTTGTCAGGTTGACGGTCTAGCTTTACAAACAATTTTGATCAACTAAAAGTTAAACAGCTTTAAATTAAGTAACTACAACTTTTTTGTTACGTATGACATTTTTTTTGAATATTTGATCCAATGTATTGATTGCGCATCTAATAAACTAACAAAAAACACTTGGGGCAAGAAGATTTCACTTTGTGTAAAAACTGACGAGATAGAGTGTCCAACGGGGACCGTAACTTAAGCATAAATAAAAATGAGAAAAAATAACGTACATTTTGAAACAATTGAAAAATGGTTCAATTAAATATCAGCCAATCAGATTCAATAATACTGTCATATATATATTATTCCTAGTATCTAACTATATATTTTACGTTGTTGGCGCCATTGGTTTAGCCATGTGTTTGGTGCGGCTACCAATTAATTAATACCTGCCAATCTCAGTTAAGTCTGTGTGTGTTTTGAGTTATTGTTGCTAACCTTTAAGACTAAAACAAGTCAGTCTAAATTCAGTGAATTTACGATATTGAACTTACAATTTTTCACATGGCGCAGCAAGCAGGACAAAGCGCGGGATTAGGGAAAAACCCACGTGGGATTACGGCATTTTGGCCGAGCAAATGTACGGAAGCACCAATGCTGTGGGAGCATTGGATTACACGATTTACCTGGGGTGTAATAGCAAAACACTCATTCAATCCGAAGGCATTCTATTTTGATCGGACGCTAACCGCGGCGCAAATTACAGATCTGCCAGAGAAGGTGAATGGAAAAAATCGGTTGGAAGCTGAGCAGACACTAATTTCTAATCTCTACTTGTGTTTGGGGGAACGTGGACAGGACGAACTACATAACCGAAAACCCCATTTGGATCTGGCGACTACCCGATATCCACGGGTTTTGGATGAATTTGAGAATGTCTTCAGGAAGGAAAGAAACGAAACGTTCGAGACGTATCAGCTACTATCTCGGAAACAACGTGACGGGGAAACGTTGGATGAATTTCACTCCGTATTGAGTGGACTGGCCGCTAGATGCTCATTGGGAGCATTGGAACGACGGGTGTTACGTGACGTACTCATAGTGAATATGTCCAATAAGGAGGCTCAAACGGAACTATGTCGTTCAACTAAGACACCAGATGAGGTCTATCGGATTTTTTTGTCATATGAGCGGGGTGACAAATACGCTAAGTCATATAAAGTATCCGGTGGGGGACTTACCGCAGCACCAGCGGGCTCACTACAAATTAAAGCGGAGCCTATAAGCGCAATCAGAGGAGGTTATCGCCGGCCATTTCAAAGAGGCGGACGTGGATTTGGCAGAGGAGGCACAAGGGGCCGCGGAGGAGCAGCAGATCGCAAGTGCTACAATTGTGACCAGAGTGGTTTTACCCCGAATCATATTCCAAAGTGTCCAGCAAGAAACGCAGCCTGCAATTTTTGCAAGAAAACTGGACATTACGAGCGAACTTGTAGAGGACGTCGATCGGCGAATAGGGGTCGCGTAGGCATGATAAATGAGGACGACACTGATGGCGGGATTGCACAAGATTATCCGGAGGAGAGTGCATCCAATTACGGAAGTTCCTTCGGATGGGTGACTGATTCAAAGGCACCGGCACATGGATGGGATTCGGATAGTTCAACGGAGTATGTAGTTATGTCAATCCGGCGGAAGGAGGAAACAGAATTGAGAGTCGCGGGGGCCAAACTAGCCTTAAGAATCAATGGCAAAGCAACTCAGGCCTGGATTGATAGTGGTTCGCCAATATCCATCTTCACTATTGGGGAACTAAAACGTACCCTGGGAACAGCTAACGTACAATTGAAACCGCTGGATCCGAAAGACGACCAATTCCGCGACTACGGCAACAATTCGTTAAAATTTCTGGGGAAAATGCAAGTCACGCTTCATTCCAATGGATAGACTTGCTCGGCGGATATCAACGTCATCGGAGGGTGCAGACCATCTATTATTGGCAGGGATTTACTGCCAGCACTAGGACTGATGTTGGTACAAGCACCATCGACAGAAGGGGTGAACAGCATACATTCAAAGGAAGGAACTGTGGCGACGGACAATGACTTGGATGATTGGCAGACACATTTCAGTAAGCAATTTCAACATCTTTTTCGCATGGTAGGGCGTATCCGAAAATATAAAAAGCAAGCCGAATTCTTCAAGAATCTAGCTCCAATTCAACAAAAGGGTAGGCGAGTGCCCATAACATTACAGGAAAAAGTCGATAAGGAGATTGACAAACTTTTGGAACAAGGTCATATTCAAAAATTGGAAGAATGTTCAGATAAATATTTTGTTTCACCTATTGTCATCACAGTGAAAAAGGATGGTTCGGTAAAACTTGCACTGGAATCCAGAGAATTGAACAAGCAAGTGTATAAAAATAAATATCAAATGCCCAATATTGAAGAACTAATGGACATTGTAGGGCAAACGATCAGCGAGCGTAAACAGGGGGATGTTTTTTTTACAACGATGGATCTCACGTACGCATACGGTCAACTTCCTTTAAATAAAATACTAGCAAACATCTAAATTTTCCGTTGGTGGGAGGCCGTTCTACCGGTACATATCGATTCAAGACAGGATTCTATGGATTGACAACAATGCCGGCGGAATTTCAACGGGTCATGGATGCCATTCTGGCTGAATTTCCGTGTGCGCATGCTTTCGTTGATGTTATATTAGTGATTTCAAAAGGTACCAAAATCGAACATATTGCCCTGGTGGAGAAGATTTTAGCGAAATTAGATAGAGAAAATATGGCTTTGAAACTAGAAAAATGTCAATTTGCGAAAAACACTTGCGAATGGTTAGGCCTTCGGATTACAAAATCAGGGATTACACCAATGGTGCGAAAAACAGATCCGATTGACAAATTAGCTGCCCCGAAAACGCTCTCACAATTGAAGTCGTTCATGGGGTCAATCCATAGCCTTCACAAATATTTACCTGCGTTGGCAGAAACTTCGGCGCCCCTACGTCCGCTGCTTAGTAAGAAAAACGAATTCCTATGGACAACTGACTGCCAAACAGCGTTCGAATCGCTTAAGAAACAAGTCGCGAACATAGTCGAACTTAAGCATTTTGATGTGCATAAGGACATACGTATCGTGTGCGACGCTAGCCATAATGGTTTGGGGGCTGTACTCAAACAACTAGGCGCCGAGGGTTGGCGACCTATATCACTTGCGTCCCGTTTTCTAAATGCGGCAGAAAAGAAATCTTCGACAAATGAGCTAGAAATGCTGGCCGTAGTTTGGGGTTCCGAATATTTTAGAAATTACATTTTCGGGCGGAAATTTACTGTAGTGACAGATCACAAGGCTTTGGTATCATTATTGAATGGAAACAATAAGAAAAACAAAACTATGTTCAGTCGGTTGACTTGTTCGATCGATCGAATTATCCCCTTTGATTTTGTCATTGCACATATGCCTGGGGCTAAAATTGGCCTGGCGGATTATCTATCAAGGCATCCGGTGGGGGAAGCAACAAGAGTTAGTCTCTATGATAACACTTTCACAGTTGCTAAATTGCAGTCAATTACCAATTCACTCGGTTATATTGATACCAATAAAAGGATTATTAAAGCATCAAGAAAATCAATTGTTTCAGCTAAAGATATACAAGTTGGAAACGATAGAATTAACTTTCCATCGGAAGAGGGCGTCAAAACGCGTGACCTTCGGCCAACCAATCAGAAGCCAGTAAAACGAATAGCTGAGTGTAATGACCGTGAGGGCGCAAAAATAGTAAAGTCAATTACTGAATTTAAACTACGTGAGTCTGATATTAATTCCACAGTAAACAATAGTCCTCCCTTTAACAAAACAAGTTATCAATCTATCAAAACAAATACCTCTACAATGACATCACTTAATTTGACGAAACTAAATAAATTATTGTTGAAACACCCAGAAATCACAAGCGGCAGTAGCAGCGAGGTGGAGATAAAAGACGCACGACTGGAGGCGGAGACACATCACACTAGGGACATCCGATGCAACACGGTAATTTCCATTCCTTCGGCATTCGGAGGCGAACTTTTTCCGGCGGCATACCCAGCGGGAGGAAATGTAATCATGTCAGTGATTCCCCGGGACTGTAAGATCATCCGAAAAAGCAGTGCTTTGCCAGAACTATTCAACCTAAAGCTGGTTGAAGCAAATTATTAAGGGGACCCTCAGATGCGTGCGATAAAAGAACTGGTGGAGAGTAAGGACCCGGAATTGGAAAAGAAGGTCAGAGCAATGGATGCCTACCTCGGACAGCACACACATGATTTCCACGTGCGGGAAAATTGCCCGTGGATGGACGAACGACTCGTCATCCCCATACCACTCAGAAAGGCTGTGGTCAATCGTATACATGCGTTTCACCATGGGCGCTCGAATATGTTCGATGCTGCGAGGGATGTCTGGTTTCCCTATCTCCACCGGAGTTTAGTTGCAGCTGCGGATGGGTGCAAGGAATGCACGGATGCAGGTAAAAGCCTTAAACCATTATGCGCTAAAGGTGACGTTGGGAAAGTCTATGAACCACGGGAGCCGAATGAATGTCTACAGCTAGATTTTTGGGGTCCGATTAGATACTTAAATGAATCGAGTAAATATGTTTTGGTAGCGGTTGATCGATTCTCACGCTGGCCCTCTGCAATGATCTGCAGGAATAACAAAAGCGATAAGGTCCTTAAGTTCATTAAACAATACATATCTCAACATGGTGGCCCTAGGAAAATTTTTATGGACCAAGGATCAAGTTTCACATCGAATGCAGTTGAATCATTTTGTAAATCCGAAGGAATAGAAATAATTTATTCGCCCGTGAATGATCGTCGCGCAACCGGATGTGTTGAACGTACCATTGGCAGCATGAAAAACTTTGTCTTACTTACGCAAAAGAAAAAGATAGCGGAAATTTAGAATCAATGATAGAACGAGCCTCGAGTGCTCTGAGATTTGCTCCGAATGCTACTCTCAAAATATCGCCGTTTGAAGCTCATCACGGTAGGGAAGCAAATACGGTCCTACAAAATCTTACGAAAAAGCCAACCCTGCAAAACCTAAATTGGGTCAGAGTGTTGAAACAAAAATCTGCCTATTTAGATTCTACTGACCCAAAAAATCAGAAGATTCCCCAACCCATGGCAACGGATTGGGAGGAACGATCCGACGTTGAGTTTGATGTTGATCACATGAACCACCCTAGACGGCTGGCACAGAATCAACTAGTTTCGGCGGGGGATGGAACACCAATGGTTGGCGGGAAACAGGCCTTGGGGGGCAAGTCCAAACAGCCAAGTAAACGGACCGAGCTTTTGTTCCAACGACTTAAGGACAGCAATAAAAGGTATAGACCCATAAACCAAAAGGTAGTTAGCGAATCTATGCATACTCTAACTCTAGCAAATGGCTCTGTACTTAGGAAAAGTGGAGTTGCTGAAAAAGTCATCAAGACCAACGCGCCAAATACTGCGAGCAAACTAACGCTACCAACCCAGCCATGAGTGCGCTGCAACGTCGGGCGGAATTGAAACGAGCACTAAACGAACAGGCGGCGGGGACAAGCACACAGAGTAAGGCCGAAAACAGAACGCGAGAAATTTCACCAGCGGAGGAGGCAGACTCGGATTCGGAGTAAGAGCCGATAACAGTTTCAAAATATGCAGAAACCCAACAACAGCACCCGATCGGAACGTGGAAGCGAATGCACCAAAAGTGCCTAAAGATGTAGAAAACATAGCGGGAAAAGCCAACTTATCTGAAGGAAGCGGAATTCCAACATCCAAGGGGGTGGACACGGAGGTCCAAACCATGAGCACCGAACAAGGGGGAAGTGCCCCGAATTTGAGTAACGAAGGACAAAGGGAAAAACAGCCCAAAAAGAAAGGGGAGCGAGGGCGACGTTTACGCCTCGTATCATATTCTAGTCAGGAATCAGAAGATCAAGATGGGACAGGATCAAGGAAAAGTACCAGGAAACGGAAGGCGGTATCCAAATTCGGCGGGGTTATGATAGACAGTATATTGAAAGCGAGACCAACCAAAGGAGGAGAGGACAGAGAGCGGGACACGAATTAAGCAGGAAGATACACTTGAAAGATGGAGTGAAAAAGAAATTTAAAGAAAACTATTAAAACTAAAACTTATGCCCAGGGAGAGGGTGGACTACTGCGGGTCCAAAACTCAAACATTTCTCCGTCGGATAATTTTTAAAACATTTGTTTAAAAAAATGATTGTTGAGGGAATGTCATACATATATTATTCCTAGTATCTAACTATATATATTACGTTGTTGGCGCCATTGGTTTAGCCATGTGTTTGGTGCGGCTACCAATTAATTAATACCTGCCAATCTTAGTTAAGTCTGTGTGTGTTTTGAGTTATTGTTGCTAACCGTTAAGACTAAAACAAGTCAGTCTAAATTCAGTGAATTTACGATATTGAACTTACAATTTTTCACAATACTATCCACATGATTTCGGCTAACAATATCATTGTTTTATATATCAGAAATTTGGTTGTAAATGAGCACAACAAAAGAATTGACTTAGCTTTTTTTCAGTTTTTGTTTAAAAAATAGTTTTAATGATTAAATAGTCATGCTTCGGCCACTAAATGGCCATGCCGAAATGTTCATTCAGTTCTTCCAGAAATGCAAATATAGTTACAAAAAGCAGATTATACTAGTAAGCAAACGCTTACTAGTATCATCTGCTTCAGTCGTTTCTGTTTGAATTTTCAGTGCTCTGCAGAGAAACCATCGGAGTCGGTTTTTATTTTCTTGTTTTAGAGTTATTTGTGGGTGGGATTAGACCTGCTAAAGACACGGTAAAGACTCGAGTCAAACCTCTAACCCAAGCTCAGGAATCTCTGAAGGATCAAGTTAAGGCTCATTACCAGCTCAACTTACCACATCCTACGAATGAGCGACTAGAAAGCTTTTGCTTTGATTCACAAGGGGTGGTTTTCAGTGACCGATTTACGGCGTTCAACCCAATCGCAAAAGACTACTCGAACCAAATTGGACCATACACGGTAATTACCCACTTTTATACTGCCACAATGCTCTCAAAAAGTAGCCCTCTAAATCAGAAATTTTTATTTCAATCGAACGGACAGGTTGTGGAGAGCTCTTGCATTAGCGGAATGCTCAAACTTTTTTTCACGCAAACAAGTATTTCCATCTTTAACTAGCATCTAGTTCCTGTTTGATAAAAATGTTATTGGAATCGGTTTTTTTGAGACGCTTTGGAAAAATTGTTTCCTTTTTTTTCATCACTTAGTTTATATGCTGTACCAATTTTCAAAAAACTAAATCCAATGGGGTGTCTGCCGGCTATCTTATGTGTCTGCATACTCCCCTTATATCTTTTCTCTTTTACCCCACTTTCCATAGCCTTTGAAAAAGTGTGTTGTGGGAATTTTTGAACCATGTTTTTGTATTTTTTTCATTTCCTCAAACTACCCTCCCAAATCTGAGATTTTGGGTTCAACGGATAGAACAGGTTGTGAGAAGCTCGCCTGCATAATCGGCTACGCTCACATTTTTTTTACTCAAAATGTTATGGCCCTCGGAGCAGGCAAAATTTTGTTTTTTGACTAATTTTTGAAACTCTTCAACTTTTCTCGAAAACTACCCTCCCAAATCTGAGATTTTAGTTTCAGTCAAACGGACGGGTTGTGGAGATGTCTTGCATTAGCGGTCAAGGTCAATTTGGAATTTTTCGATTTCTCTCATAAACTAGGCTCCCAAATCTGAGGTTTTGGTTTAATGAGTAGCATGGTTTTGGTAAGCTCCGCTGCCCTAACGATGACGCTTAAATTTTTTAAGACAAAACATTAAGAACACCCGAAAAGTCTAATTTTTTGACTGTTTATTGAAACTTTTTGACTTTTATCAAAAACTACCCTCGCGAATCTGAGATATTGGTTTCACTGTGAAGAACGGGTTAGGGTAAGCTCCACGATATAAGCGGCTACGGCCAATTTTTTTCTTACACAAAAAGTCCTGATCCTTGGAAAATCGAATTTTTTTCTACCACTCTCGAATTTTTGCTCTCAAATTTTCGGACTGCCGCTCTCAAATTTTTGGACTGCTCTCGAAAACTACCCACTAAAATCTAATGAGCAACGTTTTAAGCATTTTTCAAACTAAAAAGCTCTTGTAATTTCTTCAGTTTTTAAGAAAACTGAAGAAATGATGAAATAAACAGATTTTGAATTCAATAAATCGGGACTTACTTTTCTTTGCTTTAGGTCTGTTTTGGAAATTACCCTTGTCCTACCGCATCAAAACACAAAATTCAAAAATTATCAAACAGGTATTTCCAGCTTTAACTGGCATCTAGTTTCTGTTTGATAAAAACAGTTGTTATGAAAATATTTTTGGGATCGGTTTTTTTGTAACACGCTTTGGAATGTTTTCGTTCATCTCAAAAACTACTCGAAAGATATTCGAAAGAGTCGTACCAATGGGAAATTCGCACACTCTCCTATATGCCTGCATACTCACCTTGTATCTTTTTACCTCACCCCACTCTCTACAGCCTTCGAAAAAATGTATGCGGAGATTTTTGTTCCAAGTTTTGGATTTTTAACAAGGCGTCTAAGTCTGAGATTTTGGGTTCAACGGGTAGAACAGGTTGTGAAAAGCTCCCTTGCATAAACGGCTACGCCCATACTTTTTACACAAAAAGTTATGGCCCTCGGAATAGTCAAATTTTTATTTTTGATCTTTTCCAAAATTTTAGAATTCTCAAAAGCTACCCTCCTCAATCTGAGGTTCAGGTTTCAAGGAGTAGAATGGGTTGTGGGAAGCTCAATTTTTCAACTTTTCAATTTTTTTTGACTTTTTTTGAAAACTTGACTTTTTGGGAATCTGAGATTTTAAGTTCAATCGAATAGACGGAACTCAATCGAAAAGATCAATTTTTTTCACACAAAAATTATGACCCTCGGAATGCCAATTTTTCGATTTTTCCGAGGATTTGGATTTAATCAGTAGAATGGGTTCGGGAAAACTCCAGTGCATAAACGATTACGTCTAAATTTTTTTACCGAAAACTATGACCCTCCGAGAATTCAACTTTTCGAAATTTTGACCGTTATTTGAAGTTTTTTTCTCGCAAACAACTCGCCCAAATCTGAAGTTCTGGTTTCACGGAGTATAATAGCTTGTGGGAAGCTCCTCTATCTAAACAATTAAGCCAAAAAACTTTTCAAAAAAAAATTATGGTCCATCGAAAAGACAAAATTTCGCTTTTTTGACCGTCTTTTCAAGCATTTCGATTTTCTCGAAAAGTACGACCACAAATCCGAGATTTTGGTTTCGATAGGTAAAAGGGGTTGTGAATGCTCTCCCGTATAAGCGGTTACGCTCAAATTCTGTTGCACAAAAAGTTATGACCCTCGAAAAAAATCAATTTTTTTACTGTTTTTATTGAAATTTTCGTATTTTCTCAAACCACCTTCGCGAAACTGAGATATTGATTTCAGCAGCGTGAAAAACGGGTTGTAGGAAGTTCCACGGTACAAGCGGTCACAACCATATTTTCTCTTATACAACAAGTTATGACCCTAGAAGAAATCCGATTTTTTTACCGTTTTTTGAAACTTTTTACTGCTCTCAAAAACTACCCACCAAAATCTAATGAGCAAAAATTTAAGCGTGTTTCAAACTAACCAGTTTTTGTAATGACTTCAGTTTTTAAGAAAACTGAAGTATTGATGAAATTAACAGATTTTGAATTCTTTAATTTGGGACCATTTTTTTCTTAGCGGCCAGTTTTTAACAAACAGGAACTAGAGGCCAGTTAAAGCTGGAAATACCTGTTTGATATTTTTTCAATTTTTTGTATTGATGCGAAAGGAAAAAAATAATTTCAAAAACAGACCTACTGTTTTTGAAATTATTCTTTTCCTTCCGCATCAATACAAAAATTTGAAAAATTATCAAACAGGTATTTCCAGCTTTAACTGGCCTGTAGCTCCTGTTTGATAAAAACAGGTATTTTAAAAAGGTTTTGAGGATCATGTTTTTTTTTGTTAGACTCTTTGGAATGTTTGCATTTATCTCAAAAATTACTCGACCGATTTTCGAAAGAGTGATACCAATGGGAAATCTGCCCACTCTCCTGTGTATTTGCATGCTCTCATCGTCTCTTTTTACGTTACTCCCCTTTCTACAGATTTGGAAAAAGTGTGTGGAGTAGAGTTTTGACCCAATTTTTGGACTTTTTGTACGTTTTCTCAAACAAATTTATGATTTTTGACCGTTTTTCAAACATTTCGATTTTCTCGATAAATACCTATCCAAATCTGAGATTTGAGTTGCAATAGGTAGAACGGGTTGTGGGAAGCTCTCCTGCATAAGCGATTACGCTCAAATTCTTCTACACAAAAAATTATGACTCTCAGAAAAGTAGACTTTTGACTGTATTTATCAAATTTTGACTTCTCAAGAATCACCCTCGCGAATCTGAGAGTTTGATTCAGTGTGAATAACGGGTTGTGAGAAGCACCAAAAAATAAGCGGTCACGCCCAATTTTTTTAACACAAATAGATTCAACCCTCGGAAAAGTCCAAGTTTCGATTTTAAGACCGTTTTTCAGCCTATCAAGCTCTTGTAATCACTTCAGTTTTTCGGAAATTTTAAGCAATAGATGAAACTAACAGATTTTCATGTCATTAAATTGGGATTTACTTTTATTTGCTATTGGTCTGGTTTTAAAATTACCCTTGTCCCTCTGCATCAATACGAAAATTTCAAAATTTATCAAATAGTCATTGGAATTGGGTTTTTTTGACGCTTTGGAAAATTTTTTCATTGTTTTAAAAACTTAGTTTTTCTCATAAAGTGCTGTACCCATTTTCAAACAATTGTTTCCAATGGGAAGCCTGCACGCTACCCTCTGTGTCTGCATAATCCCCTAATCTCTTTTTTTCCCTACCCCATTTCCACATTCTTCGAAAAAATGTGTTGGGGGAATTTTTGAACCATATTTTTGGATTTTTTAGATTTTCTCAAACTACCCTCCCTAATCTGAGATTTTATTTCAAAAAATAGAAAAAGTTGTGGGAAGTTTCCCGGCATTAGTGGCTCTGCCCAATTTTTTCACAAAAAGTTATGGTCCTTAAAAAAATCAATTTTCAATTTCTTGATCTTTTGAAATGTTTTGACTTTTTTGGGAAGCTACCCTCTGAAATCTAAGATTTTAGTTTCAATCGAAAGAACGGCTCTCAATTGAAAAGATTCAAAATTCTCACACAGCAAAATATATGACCCCCGGAAAGTCGAACTCTCGATTTTTGACCGTTTTTGAAACTTTTCGACTTTTCTCAACAGCTACAATCCCAAATTTGAGTATATGGATTTAAATAGTAGATCGTGTTTGAGAAAATTCCGCTGCAAAATGATACATCTTATTCTTTTGCACAAAGCTATGACCCTCTGAAAAGTCAAACTTGAATATTTTGACCATTTTTTGAAACTTCGTTTTTTTCTCGAAAACGACCCTCCCAAATCTGAGGTTTTGGTTCCAATGAGTAAAACAAGTTGTTGGAAGTTCCGCTGTATGTGGGACTCGAAAAGACCCTCCCAATTACAGCGGAGCTCCTTGCTGTATGAGGGACTCTAAAAAGACTTCTCGAAAGCGACCCTCGCAAATCTGAGGATTTGGTTCCAATGAGTAGAACGAGACGTGGAAAGCTCCCCGGTTATGCCTAATTTTTTAATTTGTGAACCCCGGAAAAGTCAAATTTTTGATTATTTGACCGTGTTTTGAAACTTTTTGGTTCTTCTCAAAAAATATTCACCCAAATCTAATGAGCAAAGTTTTAAGCATTTTTCAACGTAACAAGCTCTTGTTATCACTTCAATAGTTAAGAAAACTGAAGTAGTTGATGAAATTAACACATTTTGAAGTCATTAAATTAGGATTTACCTTTCTTTGGTAAAGGTCTGTTTTTGAAATTACCCGTGTCCTTCCGCAGCAAATCAAAATATTATTCCAGCTTTTGCTGGCCTGTAGCTGCTTTCCTAAAACTGCGCTTTGGAATCAATCGAAAGAACAGACTGTGTGTGGCACCCATACACAAGCGGCTGAGTTCAGTTTTTATGCGCAAAAATTTATTGCTCTGGGAAAAATTTTTGATCGTTTCAATTTCTGGCTTTTCTCGGAAATCACCTTTGCTAATCGGCAATTTTATAATGATTTGAAGTAACAGATTGGGGCAAGAAACTCTGCACAAGCACCTTGTTAACAAAATGTTATGGCACTCAAGAAGGTCTGAATTCCGACCAATCCGAGGAGAACTTCGTATTCGGATGTGTTTTAGTTTTTTCTGTTTTGTTTTTGGTTTTCCTGTTTTCTCACAAAATCGATATTGTTTTCTCACAAAATCGATATTTGTTATTGATATTGATTTCTCACAAAGTCAATATTTGTTAGCATAAAATCTGTGATTTCATGTTGATTTGAAGCAAAGGTTGTGGTAAGCTACCCTGCATAAGCACCTACCCCCATGTTTGTTGTTATCAAAAAGTTATGGCCCTCAGAAAACTCTAAATCGAAATTTTGATTTTTCGACGTCTTTTTTTTTATTTCTCTGATAAAAACTCTTAAATGTGAACTTAATCGTTCTATAAAGGGAACAAGTGGTAAAAACATTTCCGGCATAATCAATTATCTGCTGACTTTAGTAGAAATAAAATACACTTTTCGGAGGTTTTTCAACTTTTGCCAATTTTTCGGAATTTTTTGATCCTTTTCGAAAACTACCGTAATTCTTAGATTGAGTTCTCTCCGCACAAAGCGATAAGTCATTTCAGCACAAAAAATATTCAAAAGCTTCAAGTCTGAGTTTTTGTGTCCATTTTAAAAATTTTTTGTCTTCTTTCAAAAAGTAACTAAATCTGAGATGCAGGTTTCAGCCGCTTTAAGTAAAAGTTTGATTCTCTGAGGAATGTCCGTTCATGCAAATTTTGAAACTTTTTTTGGATGTTTTTTTAGTTTTTTCCTTTATATTTTAATGTTTTCTGCGCAAAATCAGAAAAAAAACAAAAAAACAATTACTGGACTAGGTTGAGTGATATATCATGATAACATCCTTTCAGTCGTGAATCCACTGGGATAAAAAAAATTGGTAATTTTTTTACCTGTGTCGAGAAAAACGTTTTCGTTTTTTCATTTTTTTTGTGACGAATATCTTCCGAATAAAGCAAACAAACAAAGTGAGATAAATTGTTTTGAAAGCTTTAGTTGACAATTTCCAGACAAAAAATATGAACTTTTTATAAGTATTGTGCAAAAAAAATTATTATTTTTTTTTTCGTTTTTTTGTTTGAAAATCTTTGCTCGAAGACAACTGTTGTTGATTATGCCTATTATACTAGGTTTTAGGCAGGTTTTTAAATTTTCTCATCACACCATTAACTCGCACAAAAAACGACACGTAATTGAAGAATTGAAAAGCCTAATAATTCGAAGAACTCATTTGCAAAAATGTATGAAATTTGTATGACTAGCATTTTTCCATAGACTAAGTGTATGAAATTGTATGATTCGCATTTTCGGTTTATGGAGGTCATCCCGGGATTCTTTGTTGTTTTTATGAACATGGTTGGAACATTTTGTGCTATTCGCACAGCAACCGGCTATCCTTAGTTTTTTTGATAAAACTTTTAGGACATCTAAAGCTAAATACATAACAGGGCTGTTAGGGTGTCTTTTTTGATTGAAACTATCAAAAATCAAATGTCTAGAATGGTAGGACGTTGTTGGTGAAAAGTTGGGTATAGTTTTCTGGTGTGGCCTTTCTGGCGTGGCGTTTCCGTTATTCAAGGAGGGGATAGTTGAGGCGTGCTTCAACCGTTTTGTTAACGAAACAGTAATGAAATAGGGTGACAGGATTTTGAAAGAGTAGTGTCTTCCGGGGGTTTGACGAGGAGTATGGCGAGTGTTTTCAATTGAATGGTATCTGCAAAGCTCGTAAGTTAATGACTTCAGTGAGCAAGGCAGTCTAGGCAATTTAGTTGAAGAGGGGTATGACGGATGTTTTCCGATTAAATGGTAGTTGCCGAGCGCGTATGCTTTCGACTTTGTTGAGGTAGCCCAGGACAAATTATTTGATGTTTCAAATGAAAAATTTTACTTCTATCAATACCAAAAACTCTACTTAATTCGTTTCTCTTTTTTTTCAGGATGAAACTGAGGCGCAACTGTTGAAGGACTTGGAATTGAAGAGTTGTGGTTTGAGCCGTTAAATTTTTCAAATGTTCATTTACCATACAAGTCGCCAGTTGTTACTCACCTTGGTTCTGTGCTACTGGAAGTCTGGAACTTGCGTCAAGTTTTCTTCGTGTTTGCACTGCAATTTTGACTAATTTTGATTGGCAGTTATGTTAGGATTATTGAGGTCAACGATTCTACGTGGTCTCGTTGTTTCATTAAGACTTGGTTTCGTTTGGAACGTGGTCTATAGCGAATTTTGAAAAAAGCATGGATTTTGTTTCTGAGCTGGCTGGTTGGAGGATTGCTTCCTCAAAAACTTTTTCAACTATTCAAACATCGTTGGGGTACTCGTTTTGAGGGAGTACATCGCTTCCCTCAGCTCCAAGTTATTATCATCCGATTTAAAGATAGTGGAGAATGTTGTGCTGAGGGCAAGATGGGTGTGAGAGGGTTAGATTTGATGAAAATGGGTAGATTTTTCAAATTATGGTAATTTGTGATGTCCAATGGCACATTAGGACAAGCGTATGCATGGCAAGATCAATATAGGAGACAAGGCATTTCCCAAGTTGAATAGATACACAATGAAGTCATTTTTAAATCTGATATCAATAGTATATATTCTAACGTCTTCGGGGATTTCAAGAGGGGGGCATGTGCTTTGGTTGTACCGAATACGAGTCCTTCTGACTCAAGTAGTTGATGGTTTTTGGATACCTTGAGGGTTTACTAAGATAGCGGAGGTATGTAGAAATTGGTTTCGGAAACTTTTTTCCGACCAGATCAACAATGTGGATCTCATTTTTTTCTTGGCAGATGATGTTGCTACTGCCCTTTTATCGATGATGTTTATCGTAGACCGATGAAAGAGTCATGGGGACGATACATTTTTGTGGGCAATCTTTTGGGGGTGGGGATGATAAATTAGTAGTTGTTGAGTGCATGAAGCTCGGGCAATTGACAGTCTTGATGGCCGTTCATAGATTTTTAGAACGGGGTTCTGGTGACGCGGGTTGTCTTAGAGCGGGGAAAGGAATGGGGGACGCTGGTGAGAGTAAGCTTTCCCAAAAAAATTCGCTTTCCCAAAAAACTACCCGTCAGATTCTCATAAAAGTGGTACCAATGGATTCAGTAGCGTTTCACCTACCTGCCTGCATGAAATTTAGGGCAATTTTCACCCTACCCCACCCCCTACGGTCTTAGAAAAGCTTCACAACTCGAAAATTTTTTTCACTTTTTGCCTCAAAAAGTAACCGTCCAGATTTGGGATTAAGGGTTTAATCGATAGACCAGGTTGTAGGAAACTCCCCCGCACAAGCGGCTGGTCCCTAATTTGCTTAGGGGAAGAGCTATAGACTTAGGAAAAGTCACTTTTTTGACTTTTTTGGCCTTTTTTCAAATCTTTCCGATTTCCTCAAAAACTACCCGTCCAGATTTGGGATTAAGGATTTAATCGATAGACCAGGTTGTAGGAACCCCCCCCCCCTACACAAACGGCTCGTCCCTAATTTGTCTAGGGGAAGAGCTATACACTTAGGAATAGTCAATTTTTCGGTTTTTAGGCCATTTTTTCAAACTTTTTCGATTTCTTCAAAAACTACCCATCCAGATTTGGGATTAAGGGTTTAATCGATAGACCAGGTTGTAGGAAACTCCCCTGCCCAAGCCCCCTTTTTTGCGTAGGAAGGGCGCTATCGACTTGAGAAACCTGAAATTTTAAAACAATTTTAAAATAATCAATATTAAATTAATCAAACAGGTCTCTCCAGCTTTCAGCTGGGCCCCTAGTCTTAGAGCGGGGAGAGGAATGGGGGACGCTGGTGAGAGTAAGTTAGTGTGAGTGGTCTTGTGTGAGTGGGTGAGTAGGTGGGTGATGTGTGTTGAGTGAAAAGTGCGTCAGCGTCTTTTGGCAGTAGTTTGCAGAATTTAGTAACAATTTGGACAGTAGAACGTTGTGGTGTTGGTACTTTTGTTTGAGGCCGATACCTTTAAAACAGATCCAGCTGCTGAGTGCCACTGTAGGCTTCAGTGAGAGTGGCGGATCAGAATATTACATGGTTTGCATTTGTAATTTTTTGACCCAGGATTTTTTGTTCTTGATTCCAGATTTTGGATTTAAGGCTTGTGCAAACGTGTGCTTCAGTTCAACTTCTTGGAAAGTCACATCTGGAGCCGTTAAATATTCTTTAATCCTTCGGTTAAGCTAAATATTTGCTGATCCGCGCATTTGCACGTCTGCCAAGTCTGAAAGTACCGATTTTCAATCAAAACGGGCTGAGCATCTCAAAACTTATAAAAACTGTGATCATAAAAAGTAGGAGCATCGGCCCAGGTTGTTATCTTTGATTTTTAAGTTGTCACTTTAAAATGAATGAAATAAGAAAAAAAAGATAGCCTGACGCAAAAAAAACGCCTCAAAGAGGTTATCATTTTCTTCAGACAGAAAATTAGTGATTTTGACAGCATTGGCGTTTTTAGGTTTGCACCTGGGATGTTTTTCTTAAAGAACCTGGCAATAAGCTGGACCCCTTAAAAGCGGAGTACTTTCCAATGTACGAATTTCAAAATGGCTGTGCTATTCTACCCCTCTCATCTTCACAGAAACCAAATGAACCCAAGTTGATGAAGTATGTACAGTCAGGTTTCTACACGCCTTTCCCAGATCCATACGACGATCAGTGTATCAGGTAAGGCATATGATATAGCATCTGTTGCACTCCGATTCCGATTACTATTATATAAAAGCTTCAATGTACTGTTGAGCGATGCTAGAAAAAATTAAATTCATTCGTTTCGTTCCATAAAAATTTGATTAAAAAGCGATTCAAATCGGAAAAATTTAGTAGCAGATGTTTCTTAAGCAGAAAAACGGACCCCGTGTTTCAATAATTTTTTTTCGAAAATACGAAAAAATCCGTGCTTATGATTTACATACACGAAGATAAATTAACCGTTAATCTGTATCAGTTACTACGAGCGTATCTATTATCACAAGGCTCAAAAACTTTTATTCGAACTAGGGCGTAGTTTTGGTCACAGTACGAGTATGAATTGTTGCATTATGTCATCTGGAATTTTCAAAGCAACATTCAATTCAAGGGAAATAAAATAACTGGTGTGTTGAAAAAAAATTAAAAGCAACACTTCCAACATTTCAGAAAATTGTAACTCAATTTTTATGAGATATAGTTGACAGCATCTAAAACCAAATGGGACAACAAATTGATTGAATCAGGGCAAAGCCGTAAACGTTCACACGGCCCTTCAACGCTTTCGAACATCAATCGAAAAAAATTAGATAAGCTTTCAAAAAAAAGAAAAAAAGATCCACAAGAATGAAATTGAATCTTTTTTCAGTGCATCTATAGAACCCATTATAATTAAAAAGGAGTAGCATTAACATCAGTATCAAAAACAGTATCAGACCAAGTAGTAGCACGAATCTATCCCGTCGAAATTACTCTATGAGAGAACAAATCTTGATTCCATCGTGTTCGATATTAGTATCAATTATGGTTATCTTGCATGATTGTTAAGGTATTGCAAGATACTGCTAGATCCTATAAAGTTATACAGTATCTTTCAGAATTCCTTTCATCGACTTCGGCATGTAGTCCCAAAAGTAGACCAAAATTATTTTTGTTCCAGCTTTCTGGGACTAGTAGAAGTTTCTCCTGGCGTCAATTGGAATGCGTATCAGATTATGTCTGGTCTGTATAACTGGTGTGGAATCCCGTGGCTGTTTGAGGCATCCATTGTTTTGAGCGAAAGAGAAATCAAAAGATCTCGCGTTTGGACGGAATATGCAAAACAGCTGGCAAATCACACCCATGAGAGCAAATATGGGTTTAAGTGGCTGTACGACAAGTACAACTCGCCCCAAGTGAGTGGTTTAAAAACATACCTTTTTTCTGCACTTTTGAAAAAACTAATAACATGAAACCAGAAATGCTCTGTTTTTCGTTGAAAAACATAGGGCGGATTGCAGAAGCGGTTTTAGAGAACGACCCCTGACCCACATAGATACCCTCTTCATTGATACAATTTTACATATCCATGTTTTGTGTCTGATTTTTTAAACAAAATATGAGCCCGTAAAATTTTCAATTTCTAAATTTTAGGGGGGTGCCGTTTAAAAAAATGCAACTTTTTGGTCACAAACTCCTTATTCCGCGCCTGGTTGCAGTCCGCCTACACTATAATATTGAATCTTGAGAGGCAAATTAACCTTTTTTAAACTTTAAAATTATGCTCAAAATCCTGTTTGATAAATCAGAGTTTAAAATTTTATGAGACTTGGTTATTTGGATATATAATTTTTTGATACGCTTTGGTACGTTTTTTTCACTTTCCACAAAAATAATTGATTTTCTCAAACACGATTGTCTTCAAGAAATTCCGAAGAAGTAATGTTTGACCCATATGTTCAATGAAAACGAGTTGTGAGACATTTTCCTGCTTAACTTACTAAGTTTAAAGTTTGGTATAAAAAAGTTATGTGATTGCCTGGAAAAAGTTCATTGAAATTTCGAGATATTTTGTGAAACTTTTTGAGTAGTCTGAAAAACTACTCTTTCTCAAATTTCCATCGAGAAAAAATATTGCGAGAAACTTCTCGACAAAAACTCCTACACCCTAAGTTCTGTTGGTAAACTTATAGCTTTCGGAAATGTCAAAATTTTCTTACCAATTTTTGGAAAATTTTTTCCAGAAACTGCAATACCAAATCTAAAATCAAGGTTTAATCAATAGGATGCTTACACGATTTTTAGTCCATTATAATAATAACATTTTTCGTGACCTTATAATAAATTATATTCAATTATAATTGATTATAAATTTTCCGAGAATCTTTTATAACCTCTTTTAATCTCTTAATATCTCTTATAATAGATTATATTACTTTTTTCTTTCAAAAATGTCTAAAAGTGAGATGTCTTGTCACACTTGGTTCATCTGAACAGAAAGTTTTGCCACGAAACAAAAGTTTCATAGAAATCCCTTAATATTAGCTGAAAGATTCCCGCGGTAGGTGAAATATAACTCTTCTACATAAATCATGAGAATAAAGCAATGTGCTGATATTTTGGTGGTAAAAAACATTAAATGTACATAATGAAACGGGTATTATCAAGAAGAAATGAAAAAAGCAAAGAAAAGACTAAATCAATTTGAATTGATTTGAAAACTGTTAAAACAATTTTACCATTTTTCAATTTTCCCAAACCAATATCTACAAAAAGCATAAAATATAAGCAATTCAGGTGGAAGGTCGAAGACAAAATGGGCAACAGAAATGGGATTATAAACAATTATAATTGATTATAATATATTTTTGTGCAAATGAAATAAATTAGAATTTCGAATAAAAATAATCGATTATAATCGATTACAATGTATTATAATTGATTATATTTGATTTCAAAAAGAGAGATTATAATCGATTAATAATTGATAAGAATCAACTATTTCTCAATTTTCGTAAGACTGTTACTAAAATTATATTATAGTTGATTATTTACGCTTGAAACTGGGTGCGGGTAGTTTTATAAGAAGACTACTGCAAACATTTTTTTATCTCAAATACTGACAGCAGTTCAATCTCAATTAATGCCAACAGTTTGAAGTCACCCACATTATACACACTCTTTTCAACTGTCCGTTTCTAATCTTTCCGAAGCTCAGATACTGACAAAAAAAAAACAATGGATAATAATGCTGATTTATAATTCAGTTTCAGTCCAATTCAGTGTTCGCCAGATTATTTTCAAGTTAAACACAATCTTCAGCAAGGTTTTTATTCCAATCCAAATTTTAATCACAATATCAACCCGACATAAAAGTTAAGATCTTAGAAAATAAGTCCAGAACATTTCGAATTGATATTCTCATTTGCTGGTAATTCAATAGCTTCAGAACAATTAGTAGAGATCAAAAATCAAATTAGGCCAGTATTCGAAATTTGATGAGTATATCTCAGTTACAGCTTTTGGCACTCATCACAATAGACTCAGCCCTCATCCCAAATCTCATCAACATATAGCTTTATAGTCACATATATATTTCCCCGTGATCCTAAATATTGTCAGCTGACAAATTTATCCCAAAAATTGGAAGGTTATACGGACTGACAAACTTGAAATTGAAAACGATTTGAATAGGTTTTTATACAGATAATATACTGTAAAGAAATTGATTAAAGTTTAGATACGTATCGTTTTAGATACGTAAGTCGATTTAGAATGGATGAAATTTATTTTTGTTCCGACTTTCGATACGGAAGTGACGGAATATTTGTGCTCGGGGTGGGTTTTTTTTCTTCAGACAAATTTCGCTTTTAACTAGCCATTTTTGACAGAATTTTTTTTATATCATTCAATAGGTAGTGTTGTTCTGAGCTTGATTTTGAAAAGATATTTCACCTGTGATCATTTTTCGTAAAGTTATGAGGGTTTAAGGATTGCCATTTTGGTCAATTTGGGACAATTAACGCGCGATTAATTTCGCGCTATTAACGCGTAAGCGGAGATTTAAACCGTCTTTTAAATCGTTCCAAAATGGTTGAAAGAAGCTTTTTTGCCATAATTGTTTTGTTACAATGAGCAAAATCTATTCTTTTAAACTTTATATGGCGTGTGGGGTGATGATTTCATAAAAAAAAAAATTCAAATTTCAGAAAAAAAAATTTTTCATTTTTTTATTATATTTAATTTTTTTATGTTAGTTCTGCTCGATAAACCTGAAAATGCAGTCGGAACTTTCAGGGATTTTCCCTGATACGAGCAGTCTTGTTTGATAGAAAAACAATTGATTGCATACTAGATGGTTTTAAATCATCTTAAAAGGATTTTGCAACGTAGGTAAATCATCCAAATCTCATTTAAATTGAAGTAACATATGTTGTCTTTTTGTTTGGATGCTTTGGCTAAACTTTCCTGCTCAAGAAAATCTCAAGGAGAGCTACAGAGAGCAAAAGTCACTTGGGTAGAGTTTTTTGGTGCCGCTAACTTTTGCATTTAAAGAAAATCCATTTCAAATAAAAGTTTCTGGGGGACTGAAAAAAATAATTGTGCAAGAAGTTTTCATTTGTCATTTTATAATCAACGTCATATGCTCAAGTTTGTAATGCAAATACCACATCACTTAAAATATCAAATTAGAAAAAGTATTTTTGGTGCAGAAAAGTTAGATATTAGTCATCCTCATAGTATATGAGCTGCCTAAACATCAAAACGAAATGTCAATTGAAAAGCATATGTTAAAATTTTGTTTCCATTATTTCTATTGTTTAGTAGTCTAGAAAATGAGAACATAATCTGTTTTTATTTTGTATTAAATAGATATTTAAGTGAAATTTTTGTTACTCAAATCCGAAGGAAATTGAAACCAAAAACGTTAAAAAAATATTTCAATCAATTTTGAATGGATTGAATCTGATTTTTGAGCTACAATCCTCAAAGAAACTAAATTGTTTTGAAATCGATGCAAGCAATTTTTCGAAAGTATCTGCTAAATTATCTGTACTAAATTGATGGCAGTCCTTTTGATGTCAGTAGGGGTCGACAATAGTAGTTAACCAATGACCTAAAATAAGTTACTTTAGGTCAGTAGTTAAGCTCAATATGAAAAGCTTAATAAAAAATTGAAAAGACGGAATCCGTGTACAGTTGCCAGATCAGATTAATATGCGGACTACACTGACTTTTAGCGGAATCCAGAACAATCCGATAAATTGGCTTGTTTCGGAATCCGCGTCATAACAAAAATACAGACAAAAATTACGTTAGAGGTATCTATACGTGGAGTCCATGGAAGTTGTTTGAGTGGACGCCACCTAAATTGTGGAGCAGGTTGCAAGACTTGTCTCTGGAATCCAAAGATAAACAGAGACCAATTTTTTATCCAAAGATAAACAGCACAGTTTGAGCTCGTAATGGTCATATTTGGGAGACCACAGAAGAAAACGATTGCTAATAAAACAAGATTGCTCGTATCAGGGCGAAGCCCTGAATGTTCCGACTGTCTTTTAGGGTTCATTGAGCAGCAGTAAAAACATTAAAAAAATTAAATGAAATAAAATAAATTGAAATTTTTTTTCACTAAAATTTGAAATTTTTTATAAAAATCATCCCCCCACACGCCATATAACGTACAAAAAGATAGATTTCTTTCCGTGTAACAAATCAATTATGGCAAATAAGTTTTGTTCAACCAACTTGGAACGATTTATAAGACGGATTAAATCTCCGCTTACGCGTTAATAGCGCGAATTATATCGCGCGTTATTTGTCCCAAGTTCCGTCAAAAATGGCTAGTTAAAAAGTCGAAATTTGTCTGAAGAAAAAAAACCCACCCCGAGCACAAATATTCCGTTACTTTCGTATCGAAAGTCGGAACAACAGCAATTAATCATTAAGATTACAAACTATTTTTGCTAAAAGAGGTTTTCTTTGACGATGCACAGTTTGACATTTTTTGAAGAACCAACTTGAAGTAACTGCTTATCAACTCAAAAGGCAAAAACTTGTTTATGGACAATTTGAAATTGGTGCCCATTTTGGTTGCTTTTTTCATAGAGGGTGTTGAATGAGCACAGTTTTCAAAAAAAACGGGCTAAATGTTATCAGACCTAAATTTTTGGACCTAAATTTCTCATTATGGGTCTGTAGGAACCCAGTTTTTCAAAAAGAGGCGGAAGGAGCTCAATTTTTGGCCACATCAGTTTGAATAGACCAAAAACAATCAGTAAACCTGAAGATTGGAAAAAACAGAGGCATCACAGAGGTTATGAATAGTAGCCAATGAGTCAGTTCCAGTCCCTCAGCGAAACTGTTTCTACAAAAGGGATAAATGAGCCAAATTTTGAAAATATTGGTCTCCTAAATGGGCGCCATTGGGTACTTTTTCGCAGATAAACAGGGGCCCAATCGTATTAAAAATTGTGCTCATTTGGTCCCTTTTCATGGAAAAGTTCCGACCAGGGTGTTTTTGATTTATCGTTTTTATAGTTGAACTTGAGTCGAGTTAAGGGTACTCAAATGACATAAATACATTGCAAACAATATACTTCTTTGAGAGTGTTCATGAACGGTGTATTTACTAGGGTAGCCTACTTTTTTTATTTTCAGTTTGATTGGTTTCAAACGCTAATTCCGAACAGCAGCCTAGAACAAGGGGAGACTGCTGCGTTCTGGAAGTTATGCATGTCGAGCGAAGATGTCCAGGCTACCGCGCTCTGGAACCTACAGGAGGAACTAGACCGACCGATAAAAAATAACCGCTACGAGCATTTTAAGGTAAAGTTTTCAAATTTAGGCAATGAGGTTAAATTTTTAAGTTACCAAATTAGTTTTGCTTGGCAAAAATGATAGTTACGCCAGCGGCTGAAAACTTTTACCATAACATTTGAAAGATTTTGTTTGTTAAAGAAGTTCAACAATGAACAGTAATTTGAACTCATTATGAACACCAATTTGCTTGAGCTCTACTTTTTTTTACTTTGCGCTACATATTCCTCAAGGATTTGACCCCTAACTGACCCAAACGGTATCGCCGTTTTGTACTGTTTTGAGATATCTAGTTTGGCTAAAGAATCCTTAAATTTTCTTAAGGCAGAATAGGCGCCAAATTATACTAATTTTGATTGATCTTCTATAAATAAGGTCTCTATAGTGATTTGAGAGTCTCTAAAAATTCTATATCCAGGCCCTGCAGAACATTATAAGGACCCTTTTTTGACGAAATTTTCTGCGCCGCATGCACAGTTTTAAAAAATCAGGTCAAAGTGCCTTTTTAGACACTTTTCGCAAACTGAAGACCAAATAATTCGTTTCAAAATTATTATATATTGACGCCAAAAACCCCTTGAAAAATTTAAGGGTTGGTGGCCGAGAATGAATGTCATGAAACAATACCAAACAGGATCTCGCACGCAACTTCCTTTTCAAATTAAAGTTTTTGAAGTGAGTAAGATAAAAACGTAGCTCTTTCTTACTTACGCCGCTGTTCAAAAAAGTCTCCGCGTTGGAGTTCCATGAATGATAGTTTTTTTAACTCTATTTAACCCTACTTAACTCTACCTAACCTAGATGAAGTTTAAATTAACTGGTTATTGACAATTTTAACTCTACTTAACCTAGATGAAGTTCAAAATAATCGGTTATTGACTATTTGAAATGAAACATAATTTCACTTATTTTAAAGCAATTAATTTAGTCGATTATACTGAATTACAACTATACAATTTTTTCTAAAAGCAATCTAACACTTCAGAACGCCTTACAAAAAATGATTTGATGTCGTATCCTGAATGTGTTTGTTGAAAGATTTGACCTGAAAAAAGGTTCTACAAAAAACATTCTAAAGCCTTCATACAACGTCAAGCTTAGCCTATTTTTTTTGAAAGTTAGAGTAAAGTTATTCTAATTTTTCTTAAAACTCTTTGACCCGCGTCTCCCAATCTCTGTCCCTGACTCCTTTCTGTTTTCTTTCTTTTTACGAGATTTGAAAAATATCTTATTCACTTGACCTTTTTTTGGTCTAATCGAAACTATAGAATTCGCAGACAATAACATTTGCATCAAATTACTTTTGTTTTTCTGCACTTCAAGAAATTGCACTTAAAGCAGTTTGAGTATCAGTTATGAATAAGTTAGCGTTTGAATTGGCATCATTTGCGTAACTTTACGATTCTATTGGCACCAGCTAACAATCTTCAGCGCCCTCAAAGAGAATGATAGGTTTATTGATAGGCCTAGTATAATCGCCGGTTGACAATGGTATTGCTGCAGGCCGGGCATTGCCATCGTTACCGAAGTTCATCTGCATGATTCGCACTAACACTTACTTTAGTGGACAAAACTAAACGCATATCATTGACCGACAGCAAAAGATCTGAGCTACAAGTTTAAATTTTTCAAAAACGAAGAGCTTACCAAATTTTACCGGGTCTGGAAACGCCAGTTTTTACCATAACCACTACGTTTTGAATCGTAGTGAACTCTTTCTCGAATTAGTCGAGAAAGAATTGTTCATGCTTTGAAATATTTTAAGCAGTAATTCGAATGGTTCAGTATGGCAACTTTAATAAACTCAGCTGTTTCGTACAATTTCGCGCTTCTTGAAAAGCTTGCTAAAAATGGTTATAAAGAGCATTTTGGGACCCAGAAAAAATTCATTAGTTTTCAAAATAAAGTTTGGGGTTTTCAAAGAGGTAGCTCTGATCATTTGCTCTTGATCTATAAAAAAAGATTTGATTAAAACCCAGCTAGTTTTGTTCAAAATCATCCTTGAAAACAAGCATTTCAGAAAATGAAACTTGAACTTGCGCTCAAAATTGTCACGAGTGAAAAGTATTTACGAATATTTTCTTCAATCATTAAAAATAAAACCTTCAAATTTTATTCGAGGTTGAAGAGCAGAGAACCACTTCGCAGAGAAAATAACATGTTTTTACATTTTTTGTCGCGTCTTTCCCTCACACGCAGTTTCTAATTCAACGTAATATTTATGAAACCATGGCCAAATATGTATTGTTTTGTCTTATATACTCTACGGATTCACAAAAACCCGCGTCGGACTTCTATGGATAGTGAACAGTTTGTCTTACTCTTTCAGCTATCTAAGAAACACCTTAGAATTTCCTTAAAATCTTTTGGAAAACCCCATATTTTAAAACCTCTATACAACGTCAAATGTAGTTTGTTTTTTTCACAACTTCCATTAACCGTGCACCATTAATGGATTTTCTAAAATGAAAAATCGCATTAATTAATTTTCAACTAGGCCACTAATTACGGTTACTAGCTAAGCTCTCATTGGACAACTTGAACAACTCAATTTACTTACGCGCTGAATGCCATTCCGCATCGCGACACATAATTACGCCTACCCACTACAAAGAGCTTTTTTAATTCAATAAAGCATTTTGGGACGAGAAAACTGTGGAGAAGGTCTAAAACCGTTAAATTGCATTGTTCAAAAAAGGATTTTTTTTTGTTTTCCATTAAAGGTATAATTCATTTTCACAGGATGTGAAAAAATAAGTGAACTTCTGTTTGTTGCAATCGAACTATTAGGATTCATAAACGACCTCATTTCGCATCAGTTGAAGTTTTTTGGTATGAGTTTGCAATATCAGCAACCCACTATTTTGGCATTTGAACAGAGTAAACACGGGGAGATACTGGCAAACGCATTTGAAAATTTATTAAATGGCAAGCAGTAAGGCATGCAAGTTCTATGCTCAAGTCTGATTGGCTGAAAAAAAAGCGAATTATCTCCTCACGCTTTTGATTAAAGAAGGATACAGTTCCCTTAATCCGACCAGGGAAACAAAAACTCTGACAAATTGAGACACGCAGTGTCAAGATGGAAACAAAATTCGAGATGCAATACAGACTGCTGCTTATCTGATATGAAAAGTGGCTGTGTGAAAAATTTGAATCATTTGTACATTATGGGAAAAGTTTGAACAAAAGACCCAATTTTGAAAAAAAAATTTCACACTCACACGTGTTTTTTACTTTCCAATTTGTTTTGGTTGATTGTTCAAGGAAAGTCATTGCACTGGTGTTTCGATTTCGTATTTGAAAATTTAGTGCACTATCTGAAACTCTTTAAATCTTGAAAAGTTTAACTCTTGCACTAGTGCTTCAAATATGGCACTTATTTCTCAGATATTGAAATACTGATACAAGTATTGCACTGTTTTTTTTTCTTCAAAAATGGCACAGAATATCACTGCACACGCATGTTTCATGCACTCCTTGATGGCAACATTACGCATAAATTTACGGTAGTTTATATATTGTTTGGAATGAGTTTGCATTTTCAGCAACTCACGATATTCGCATTTGAACATATTCTGAAAACTTAAGATAATGTTATATATAAAATGAAAGTCGAAATGTGCTGTGGACGCAATGTTTAACTGAACACAATGTTTTAGCTTTTTCAAATGCAACATTAAAAAAATTCTTTGGGACTAACATTTAAAAGAAGGCCAAGACTACTCTAGAACTTTCGAATAATTTCTTTTGTCTGGAATATTCAAAAATCTTTTTGACAAAAGTTCAATTCTTTAGACAAGATGAACTCGATTCATTTTCAAGGCTAGAAAGTGTCTGTCCTTTTTTCCGAAAGTTTGTTTTTTGGATTGGCTTTATTCCGAAACGAAATAATTTGAAACTGCAACCTCCTTGCTAGAAAAACTAGCTTTTCGCAAACCTATGCGCGCTATGAAATAATTTGAATTTTTTCAAAGTTTCATTGCCTGAATAGCTTGCTCAGAAAAACGTTGAAGTATCTCAAACAATTTCACAGACCGAATCGTCTTGCGAAAAGCTTAAGTTTTACGAAGCAAACCTTTTCGCAAACTTTTTCTATGCATTTTTCGCAAACCGGTTTGTTCTTTGAAATAATTTCTAAGTTTCATTGCTTCAATAGCGAGTCTAGAAAATCTTATGTTTTTCGCAAACCGATTTGTTCTATGAAGTAACTTGAAGCTCAAAGTTGCAGAGCTGCAATAGTTTGCCTAGAATAAACTAAACATTTTGCGAACGTATTTGGTCTCTAAAATTACTTTTGAACGTTCAATTTATAAACAGCTTGCCTACCGATTTGTTTTGTCAAATCGCTCGAAATATCGTTAAATAAGTAAATAACGAAAAATATTAAGTTTCATCGCTTGAATAGGTTGCTCAGAAAACTTAATTTTCTTGGCATCCGATTTGCTTCATGAGAATTTTGTTAAAGTTTCTTTTGAAAATTTTAAACTTTTGCCATTTGATTTGTTCATTGAAATACTTGAAATTTTTGGGAATCTTCATAGCAGAAAAAGCTTGCTTAGACTAACTTAAATTCGAGGCCATCCGATTCGTTTCATGAGTTTTGTTGAAAAATATCAAAGTTTCAAAATTAATAGCTTGCTGAAAGAAATTCAAACTCTTGTTATCCGATTAGCTCTTTGAAATAACTTGAAATTTTTCAAAGTATCTTAGCTTGAAGAGCTTGAATGGAAAAATTTCGCAAAACCATTCTATCTAAGAAAGACGAAGTATTTACTGACTACAAGTTTCTTAGCTGGAATAGCTTGCTTGGTAAAACTTAACGTTTCTCCATCCGATTCGCTCCATCAGATAAATTGAAATATTTCAAATTTTTATAGCTGGAATTGCTGGCATAGAAAATTTTGAATTAATTGCGAACTGAATTGATTTATGAAGTGAAATTAACTTTCAGTGCTGCTGCAATGGCTTTAATAGATTTAATTAGACATTTTTTTGTCCGATTCGCTACATAAAATAAGTTGGAGTCTTCAATTTTTCATAACTAATAGCTTGCTTAGTAAAATTTGATTTTTTTGCCATCCTATTAGCTCTATGAGAAAAAAACTTGATATATTTCAAAGTATCATAGCTTGAATGGCTTCAATTAAAAAATTTTTCGAAACGATTCGATCTAAGAACAACGTAAGAAACAAAGTATTTCACAAATTCTTAGTAGGATTGGCTTGCTTAGAAAATCTTGAACGTTTCGTCATTAGGTCCGATTTACGAAACTATTTGAAAAAATTCGAAGTTTCATTGCAAGATTAGCTTCCTTCAAAAACTAACAGAAACTGGTTCGATCCATGATATGTCTTAAAATTTTGTAGCTAAATTAGCTTGTTAAGAAACTCTTGAACTTATCGCAAACTGATTTGGTCTATGAAATAACTTAAAATATTCGAAGTTTCATTGCTTAAATAGCTTCAATAGAAATGGTTTTACATTTGGTCATCTGATTCGCTGCATGAAATACTTTATATTATCTCAAAGTTTCATATCTGGAGTAGCTTGCTAAGAAATTCTTCGCCTTCCGATTTCATTCATGAAAAAACTGTAGCTTGGTTCCGTAAACTGAAAACTCTTGCAACCCGATGCGGTTCATAAAATTTAAAAATTTTCAAACCAGTTTACGATATGGCTACACTTAAACTTTTAAAGTTTCTCTGCTTGATCAGAACAGCAACTAACTTTTTTCCTGCTGATCAAGCGTTCGTGGGCTTGCTAGTATTTTTTCAAGTTTGACCTCAAGGCATGACTGGCTTTCATATGGTGGAGAAGGGGGCGGTGGTGAAGTGGTTACGTCTCCGCCTGTCAAAGGTCGGATGTTCGAGGCCCACCATGATCCGTGCTCGTTGCTTGAGGGCGAGGCAACATTACCCAGCCCACAAAAATAGCTTAAAAAAATTGCATGTAAATCTTAACCAGGGTTACAACAGCGGTTATCCGCGAAGAGCTGAACAGCTCGTACGTTGGTCCTTCGCCTTGTGGATAAATGGTCTTAATAAAATACTCCGTTGCTCTGTGCGAACAATAATGACAACGAGTAATTCATCGATGTATTTTTTTTAAGGTTCTGAAGTATATTGCACTCCATATCGACCAGCTTCTGGAAATGCTTCCAGCTATAAAGACAGCCGGTGGCGTTTCCTCTCTGCAGAAGTGTGGTGATGCCTATCAGATAGTGGGACTTTTCTTCTATGGGTTGAGCTGTTGCCCAGCAGAGGTACAGTGCAAACATCCGGTAGTTCAAAAAAATCCGTTAATTGGGAATCTAATTCGTAAGATCCGTTCGTTGAATTGTTATAATTGGGATCTCTATAAGTTGACTTCTTTCATTTAACCATCCCCCCTCCACATCTACACACGCATACATAAAAAATCAAAGGTTCTGCTCGCATAGTTTTTTTCTACGGCAAAAAGCGGTTAAAACAAATCTGTTAATATTAGTAATTTTGTTCACAAGGCCACGATTCAATGCATTGTCAAGAATAAAAATTGTTTCAAGGGTAGGGGTGGAGTGTAAGGAGGGCTTCATGTGGTTGAATTTTTTAAAATAGAGCCTCCTTTAATGGGTTAAATTTGGTGTAAAAGAACCTCGCCCAGTTGCCTGAATTTGTTTGAAAAGTATTACGTAACTTCGGTTGATTGCACTATCGGATGTTCGCACTAGGGAGAAGGTCGACGGTTTGCTCTGCCGAGTGTGGGCAGAAATGTGGCTTGGGTTAACTTCCGGAATGAGATGCGTCGTATTCAAATAGAGAAGATGCAAAAAGCAGCCCCTAAACGATAATCAGCCGCAGAACAACAATTTGCCGCAGAACATCAACCCACAGCAGCACAAAAATCAGCAGTCTAACAACAAGCAGCAGCACAAATGAGGATAAAAAGCAAAACATAGAAAAAAAAACAAAGAATAAGCCAAATCATACGGGACTTTCCAGGAACAACTGAAACAAATTTTTGTACTCTTATTTTATGATATTACATGCAACAACAAAACTTCTAGTAACTGAGCTTAACAAATAAATCCGTTCATGTTTTGTGTTTGTCTTTAAACAGTTTGAGCAAGTTCAGGAGCAAATCCTTGCAGTTTGGTCTTCCATCAAAAAATGTTTACGTGAGCAAAAACAATGCTTTTGAGTACAAAGTACCGAAAGTAGACAGAAGCTTGACTTTCAGTTATGGCAGTGGTCCTCGCCCATTCATAATTGTTAAAACATGGAGATAAAATTCAGTATCATGCAGTAACATGCAGTAATAAAATGAAAAAACTAAATGTAACAAAAATAAAACGAAAGTTTTAATTAAGAGTTTGATAAGATTTTTGCAAAAATCATCCACTACACGCCGTATGAAGTACAAAGCGATACATTTCGCTCCTTAAAACAATTGAATTGTGGCGAATACGCATCTTTCATCAAATTTGAAGTGATTTCTAGGACGGCTTGAATCTCGGCTGACACGTTAATAGTGCAAAATATATCGCGAATTAATTGTCCCACACTGACCAAAATGGCAGTCTTTAGACACCCCATAACTTTACGAAAAATGATCACAGGTAAAATATATTTTTAATTTTAAGCTCACGACAACAAAACTTTTTGAAGGATATTTTAAAACGTTCGTAAAAAATGTCTAGTTAAAAATCAAAACTTGTCTAAGAAAAGCCACTCTGAGCACAATTATTCCGTTAATTTCGTTACGAAAGTGGGAATGAAACCGATATTTGAAATTTGCTTCTTTCGCGAACTCAGCGTGCAAATTTTGATTAAAATGTGAAAGGTCTCAAAAACCGCACTTCTTGAGCAAGATTATCATTGTTTCAAATTCGTCTTTTTTAGTTCAGTATAACAGCAAAACTCTCTTTTAGAAAGAAAACGGCCGGCAATGCAAGTAAAAATTTCTAATCGATAAATTTTTTTGCTACGCTCTCGGAAATCATGTGAGGCTTTGAAACTAGATTAGGAGATCCAAATTACGTTTATAAAAATCAGGACAAAAAAAATTGCGTTGAATTTAAAAAAATAGAAACGCAAAATATTAATGTTTGCCAAGCTTTAAAACTTTTGTTGCTTTCATAACATCAGATATTTTTGTGGTACTTGCATAAAAACCAAAAAAAAATACTGCTGGTTTGCTAAATAAGTTTTCTCCGAGTTTGGATTGAAGAAATAAGTTTAAAATGTCCATAATTTAATAATAACTTTAATCTTTTGAGCACAAAAGAAACCTAGTCAAAAAGTCTAACTAACTCTGCCATTTCGGTTTGTTTAGAAATAATAGGTCGATATTGGCGATTAAGAATGGTGTTTGCATTATCAGCCGAAAAGTGAAGATTGGAAGATTTCGAAGCAGTTACTTTCAAATCTTTCGAATTGCTCGTAGCAATCAAAAATTTTGCGAAAACGGAAACCGCGAATTCAGAACCACAATTTTTGTTGTCAGAATTTTTCGACAACGACTGTAACTAAGACTATGTCGTTGCTAATAGAACTGCAAATTATAAGGAATTTTAGATCTCGAGATATGTCCTGCATATGATTTGACCAACAAAAAAAATCGTTTTTAGGATATGAGGAGCTAGGAGCAAAGCAAGGGTCAACCCATATCCGATTGATGATTGAATTTTTCTATTACTGCACAAAAACAACAGTAAGAAGACAATAATGGAATAGCCTCGTTTATAGGCGTGGGGATGCTGAGACCCAGCCCTGATATCACTGATTCGCACGCAACTAGTTAATTTGATTAGTTCGGCCGATAGCCTTTACACGGTAACACGTTCATCGACCCGAGCTTACGAAACACCTCATTGCGTTGGCTCTAGTAGAGACGGTTATAAAGTTCGTAACGCTTTATCTTATTGCTAGACACTCTTCACAAATCTAACTTTACTTTCCGTCGTTATGCACTTTCTCGGCGAATTTTGCACTTTTTATGGCGCTCCAGGTTGTTATTTAAAGCATCAAGATCGGCGAGCCCATAAACTAAGCCTCTACGCCAAGCGGTTGTTCAAATTAAGGTTCTTAAACGACAGCCGGAAGGATGATCGAAACGCGAACGCCTTCCGGATTCATGAAGAAAGATGTTTGACCGTCTCTTCGTTCTATAAACGGTACACGACCAAAACCAACAAAAGATAAAAAATATAACCAAACAAAAAACAAAAACTTACCAAGAAAAAAACCAAAAATCCGTAGTGAAAAATAGAAATGTACTGTGGGGCTATTGGATTATCTAAGCACGTTAATAATAAATTCAGTCAGGTATTGTGGAAGAGTACCTATCCAGCAGTGTGACCAGGGGTAAAAAAGGTCGCAAAGTTATGAATAAACGACTACTGGGTATCATTAAACAATTTCGTATCTTTTTAAGTACAGAAAGAACTGCATCACTTAGAGGTTCAGCACTTTATTTCGGACATGGAACCAAACCAGAGGGTTTTGATTTTATTAATACTATTGCTCATGCTATAATTTTCAGAAGTTTTTCCGTTTTTCTTCAAAACATCGACATTTTGAATTCACCTTTCGGAAAACGGAATTTTTGAGCTACCTCTTAATCCTCGACAGAGCGTCAATCCAGCGAGATATGACTTTATTTGATAAAAGTAAATGTGGAGCCAGGTTAAGATAAGTCTCGATATCATTTGAAGAAAATAAATACCGTAATCCAACTTTTCACAAATCTTAGGACATGAAACTGCTTTTTCAAAATTTTTGAGTTATCGCGATAATGATTAAAGAACTAGTAACCTTGTGCGGTGAGTCATCAGATGTGATTGCCTGTTTACAAGCAGCCTTCCAGTTCCTTCGGCCTAAGAACTTCAATTTGATGGATTCACCGATCTGGAAGAATCCCAATTGCGTTGTTTTTCCCAAAGTTTTAGGACTGAAATGTTTCGCATCGGATTTTATGCGCTGAACTAAAAAATTAAATTTAGAAAAAACTTATACAAAACTTCTATACAGCGAAAAAAAATGATGAAAAAGAAAGTCTTTAAAGTCACTGATCGAATCAATTGCTTTTTGGTACTATTAGATGATCAATTCAATAAACTAACACGCAAATTATTCAATTTTTTGGCACATTTACGCATGTGATTTTTTTTAAACAAATTTATAGAGATAAAGACCGAATCACAGGAAGACCCTTCCCGGTCCAGAGAAACTACTTTTCGGAAAGCCTTTTGCCCCCTACGAAAAGGATGGGAAAGTCGACTAAAGGAACTTTGAACTTTGTTGAATAAAGAAGAAGAGTCAGGAAAGTTGGAAACCAAGCACGACAACGATAAACAAAATTGCTTATAGACCGCTACCTGTTGGTGAAAACCTCAAGATAGTCACCTTATTTTACATCCAGAGTGGTACAGGAACAACGAAAACACCCTTCCATATTTGTTCATTTTGACATCAAAAAGTATAGGATATCCTATACTTTTTGATGTCAAAATGAACAAATATGGAAGGGTGTTTTCGTTGTTTCGAAAATTTCATTACAATTTTCATATATGGAAATTGTATGATAACCATTTTTTTTTCAAAAAAAATAAACGTAGTTATTTTTCATCACCAGACTGTTGTATTTGGTTCAAATAGCCGGAGAAACTAGATTGAATCTTTTTTCAATGGTTTTTTGAAACTGTATGAAAATTGTATGATTAGCATTTTTCCATACATTTGATGCAGGCAATTGTATGATAAGCTTTTTCGGTGTGGGGAAATTTAAAATAAGCATTTTTGGTTTAGGGATGTCAACCCGGGGTCACATTACCTTCCCAGGCCTTTTTGTTGGTTTTAATCGGTTTTCTTTATAAGACCGCTCAAAAACCGCTCTAAAACCGCTCAAATCTTGCTTGAAAAACCGTTCAAAAATCACCGCAAGAAATGAGCGGTTTTTGAACGGTTTTTTAAGCAAGATTTGAGCGGTTTGAGCGGTTTTTCCAAAAAAACCACCCAAACCGCTCAAACCGCTCATATCTTGAGCGGTTTTTGAGCGGGATCTCGCCCCGGGATGACAATCAAAACGGTTCCTAATTGACCAATCAGAGAGGGTCAAGAAGACACAATTCCGGAAGGGACCCGATTTCATCACTCCGGAAGGCTCTCAAAATTACCAACTCGAAAGGGTCTCTATTTCATCAATCTGGTTGGGTGTCGAAAATGCCCATCCGTAAAAATTATAATTTAGTCAAACTGATAGGGTACCAAACCGGAAAGTTCACGAATTCGTCGATTGGGAAGGATCACAAAACAGACCCCTCACCGTACGCAAAGCAAAATATCGCATCCGAATTGCTCAAACAGAGCACTCAAAAACAACTTTTTTTGGTTTATTAGGTTGTTCAGTCATATAAAAAGATCAATTTTGACAAGAAAGTAGTGACTGTACTTGTTACTAGTCGGTAAAAAAACAGAGAGAACATGAACTCATGGCAAACTTAAATTGAGACCCGGAGAATATATTTGTCAAAAACAATCAGAAAAAGACGAACAACATACTTCAGATAGTAATCCGAATCACATTGGGTGTGGGCCTGAGAGTTATAGCAACTGTAGCTCGGCTAATCCGGAAGCAGGTACTTAGAAAAGAACTCGGTGGGTGCAACAGACACTCACTTGAGGAAAATAATCTGACCTCAAGCTTTGTCTGTTCTTTGTTGCACTGAACAGAAAGAACTTTTCATTATAAACCTTTTCGAACTTCAATTGAGCAAGATTTTAGATGCAATTTTTATTATTTCCGAACATAATTTTTTTGCTTTCAAACCCACATAGCTAGCATACTATTTCTTTGAACGAACTTGAAATCATCAAAATGTGCTAGCTTCTTATTCAACAATGCATTGCTTGCTGTGGTGCTCATCTTCAACATAGGTTCTACTGGTCTATAATATAGTCAAAATCGTGGGGAAATCATTTGAGATTTAAACTTAGGAACAAAATTGCGTTGTGTAAGTGCTACTCGTCAGTCTTACGGAGCGTTCGACGAGTTACTAGGGAAAGTGA